AAAGTCTTTACATAAAACTTTCCTTTATTAAAATATCAGAGTGCTTACAAAATCCGACTTAAAAACATGCGGATCGATCCTTAGTTCCAAACCAAACAACAAACCATAATTTTACAAAAACATACCACAAAACTATTCTGGCGCCTACTGCCTGCAGCGGTCCGCTCTACTTCACACCTCTACGGTCACCTGAAAACATTAAACAAAAGGAATGAGTAATCTAATATTACTCAGTGAGTCTAGGACCTCTATACAAGGGGGATTCCCTAAACTCCAAACACAAACGCCGCGGGCTTGTAACCCCGCCTCACCTGCATTGAGGTTAGCACAACACAACATATGCAATCACATGCATTATTGATGCCATAGTCTTAAGACTAACCGTACCCCAATCAAACAAGAACAGGTACGATCAACCCAAGACTATAACAACAATCAAACAATCTATATGCAATGCCCATGCAAACCTAGACAAGTATCTAATACTTGTTTTCTATATGCAATAAGGCGCCTAGGTGCATTAGCCACATTCTCTGCCCACGCCTGTGAAGGTTCACGCTCATCCGGAATCACACAGAAACTAGATGAACGCCTTCACCCGGGCACTACAGTCCATCGCGGTACCCGGTTCATCCTTCCATCTATTGGCCTTACTGGCGCACCATGCCAATGTCTGGTTGGATCCCATATCGTCATATGGTACCATACTCGGCCAAGGCAGCTGACCAGGTTATCCTCCGAGTCTTCCTCCCTTCATGCACAGCCTCCACGCTGCCAATCCGGTTGGGCTCTGACGTGCGAGAATGCGCTTGACTACACCTTCCTAGACAACATGTGGTTAGACACGCCACATGTTCTCAGTACTTAGCATATGGGCCTTTACGCACCACTATGCCTCATACCACCGGTTCTGCGGCAGAGCTTCCCTTGCCTCGGAAGAGTACCCACACGAACCTTGAAAGATCTGGCGGCTCAGCCGTCCGTGATCTTTCCACATCGGAGTCATACTCAACATATGGGCCTTACGCACCACCATGTTAGTATGCACTCGAGGTTTAGCGGCATAGCCATGCTATAACCCCACAACCGATGCATCTATGAGATTTGGCGGCATAGCCATCCACAATCTCACATCACCTAATGTATAGATATGCATCTACACTAACAAGATCTGACGGCATAACCTTCCCCGAAGGTTACCCATCACAATCTTACACAGAAAAGAGATCTGTTGGCATATCCTTCCCCGAAGGTTACCCAACACAACCTCACACACAAAAGAGATCTGGCGGCCTAACCTTCCCCGAAGGTTACCCGACACAACCTCACAACACAAGAGATCTGACGGCATAACTTCTCTCCCTAGAAGATTACCCATCACAACCTCACAACAATGCAAACCTGCATATAAACACACAAGAGATCTGACGGCATAACTTCTCTCTAGAAGATTATCCATCACAACCTCACAACATATTATATAAATTTCTGCAGCATAACTCTCCACAATTTTTACTAAACCTTATTGTTTAGAGAGTTATACTACAGAACCAATAACCAATATGAACAGAAAGCATCTCCCATGCTTTGGTGTTCATACAACCTGCATACACAAACAAAGATCCAAAATACTAAAACTATAACACCAAGACTCACCACTTTAAGAAGACTTCAAGATCCTCCTAGCTTTCCTTAAGCTTTGATCTTGACCTACTCTAATCTTCCACTAACCTCACTTAATTAAGAAAACTTTCTTAATTACTCTCTAATCACTTTTCAGGTGCTCTCTAGCTTTGGGAATGGAATGGTTTGGACTTGGGGTGGAGGAGCGTATTTATAGGAGTTCAGGAGGCTGCCTGGCTTCTTGGGACGTCTCCAGTCATGCGCAGACACATGGAGACCTAGGCCTAGCATAGCTTTGCTTGGTGGCGACCTACACTGCCTCAGAACGCGACATCCAGGCGGTCTAGGCTAGGTAGCTTTGATTGGTGGCCTCTAGGGCGTCTCAGGACATGACACACGTCATTCCTATCCCCTCTCAATGCTCATCCAATGAGCCGACTTCCCCCAAGCATGTGGTGTGGTCGTCCGATTGGTTATAACTCATCTTATCCATTAAGATGCTGGGTGCTTCTGTCTGATTGGTCAGCTCTTGATCCAATCCGTTTCTGCATCTCTCCACTTGCTTCTCATCCACTCCTGAAGCTTCTCCTCTCTCTCAGTGGTTGGTGTTGCATCCTGATTCGTCCAAGTCATTTCGTCTCCATTGATCACCTTAATGTCTCCGTCTGATTGGTTTGGACGATTCTTGTCTCTCATGAGCAGCTGGGTGTCTCTCCCTGATAGCATTAGGTCTTCTTGGAGCTTATCCACGCCCTCTCTCCTCTTTAGCAGCTGGTGTCGTTGCCCAATTGGTTTAGGCTTGCTTCGTCTTCATTCAGTAGCTGGATGTTGCTACATGATTGGCTGAATGGTTTTGGCTCCATTGAGTAGCTGCATGTCTTCTCCATATTGGTTATGATCATCCTTATCTTCTCCAAGTAGCTGGTGTCACCACTTGGTTGGCTTAGAACAAGATTGCTCCAAATGTACGTTTCCTCGTCCAGAGGGTTTCGTACGTTTCCCTGTCTGGAAGTTTCGTCCCCGTCGTGCTTGAGAATTAAAATCTCCTATTGTATCCTTCTCTCATTTCCATGTTTCTGAGCTTCCACATAGTTGCTTGGATCTTCAATTCTGCTCGATCGTTCTTGATCCTGTCTTGATCCAAGTCTTCGTTGTGATCTTGGTTTAGATCCCAGTCTTTGTCTTCCAATCCCAGAGTGTTGATCTTCCCATCCCGATTTGCATTCTGCTTCGGGGTATCACACAACATGTCTTATAGAAACCCCAATGTGGAGAATCCTCAAGACCAAGTGTATCCTCCAAGGTATCCACAACAACAAAGACCTCCTTACCAATCTCAAGGAAGTCAATTTCAGCCAAGGCAAGGGTATGAGCAGAGATCATCATATCCGCCCAAGGAGCCATATGCTTCTTCACCAAATCAAGCTCCTCCAAACCAACAAGGTGGGAGATTTGAAGGAATCCTCCAACAGATCATGGATGGCCAGAAGAGAAACAATAAAGAGATGTATGAGAAGATGGACACTTTGTTCAGCAATCTCAACACCAAGTATGATGCTGTTGCCACTCATGTGAAGAAACTAGAGACTCAAGTCACTCAAACTATGGAAGCTGTTAAGAGACAGGAAGCTGAATCCAAGAAGTCCTTTTGCAACTCAGCCGCCATAGAAGAAAGATTTGAAGACCAAGTTCCAGAATGGATGCTTTCAAAACCTACTGTTGATTGCATGATTTGGCCTGAAGAGAATTACCCAGAGAGAGAGTCCAATCGAGCTAGAAAGAGAAGACTCTTCCCAAAGATTATCCCCAAGACAGATAACTCAGGAAAGTTTGTGTGCCTTGTATCATCAAAGGTAACATTCTTGAGCAATCTTTGTGTGACACAGGAGCCAATGTGAACATCATGTCTAAGAGGATAGCTGACAAGATAGGCCTCACCAAGATAGAGCCATCATCCATCTCCATCAACTATGCTGATTCATTCTCACAAACCCCTATGGCTTTGTGCCTAATGTGATGGTGCAGATTGGAAATTGCTCTATCCCTACTGATTTCCAGATTGTGGAAATGAGAGAGAGTAGCCATAGACCTCTCATATTTGGAACCCCTTTCCTGTCTACTGTGGGTGCCATATTTGATTTCCCCAATCAAAGAATCTCTTTCAACAAGGTGAACAAGGGTATGTTCTTCCCTATGTGTTCAACAAAGAACTCTTTTGTTGACATGGTCCAAGAGGAGAAAGTTACTTTGAAGCCACCCCAAGAAGGAGAAACTGAAGAAACAATCAAGGAAGATCCCATTCCTAAGCCCAAGCAGCTTGCCAAACAAGCAAGGAGTAAGACTAAGGCCCCTACACCAAAACCGCCCAAGGGATCAACCAAGATTGAAGATGAGGCCAAGCCAAGAAAGAAGGTTAGAAAGCCTAGGTCTGGCCGCAACATGAAGCTTCTATTCCCAGAGGAGCTTATTGATGAGAATCTAGAAGGATTCAAGGAGAAAGTGATATACCTCTATTTTACATGCTTTTTATATGGTTTTACTATGCTTTTTATAAGGTTTTTAATGGCTTTCTGATCTAAAAAGGTATTTTTTATGGATTTATAGTACTTAGAGTCTAAACAGGTCAAAAGATGCATTTTGGAGCAAAACACAGGATTTGGACTTCAAGACCACTCCAAGACGTAGCATCAACTTAAGAAGGGCCTTAAAAACAATCTACTGAATGGACTTCATCAAATCCAGTTCGAAGTGATGCATACGTGAGTTAGCTTTGCAACGCAACTGGAATCAATCAATTTGACCGAGTAGATTGGGAGATATCTCTATTTCCCTGAGACATATACGAGGGAGCTTAATCGGACTGCATCAGTACATCAAACGGGCAGCCGCGGCTTGGACCCTTAAACTCAATGTATTTCAATGAAACTTGATACCAAGATATCCAGAGGAGTTATTGTTCCAATACCGTTGGAAGTATGCAATTTGGATAAGCCATTTAGGAGATATCACGTTTGTACTGAAGACTGGTTAACAGCCGGTCGAACGCACTCTGCCGGACAGGAAGGGAATTGGCTTCGCTCGGCCTTCTCCAGGACGGATCCGACCCGGGAGGCAATGGACCACGATCGACCGAGATCATCACATCACGGCCGACCAGACCGTGCGACCCGGGAAGCAAAGGACCGCGCTCGACCCGAATCTTCGCGAACAAGAAGCCCACTTATGCAGTTTTGACAATTCTCAGCCCAATTAACCTAAACCGACTTGTGAAGACCTAGGGCACTATAAATACTCTTTTTTAGCCTCTTTAGAAGAGAGAGCCGCATAGAGAGTCACAAGAGAAGAGCTACAAGAGAGAGGCGCACTAGGGAGCTCCCCTTAGAGGGATCTTCCATTGTTTTACTTCTTTCTCATTGTTTTCCTTAGGGAGAAGATCCCTTCTTTGTATCTCGACATAGAGAAGCTTTCTAAACCCTTTTCTCTTTATATTAATATGATTTCTATCTCAGATCTATGCTTGTTTACTTGCACCATGTTTGAGTAGATTTCTAGTTAGGTTTTAGGGTTTCAAAGAGTTCATGTGTTGATTATGATTTGATGAATTAACTAGGGATATCATTAGAGTCTTTGTCTCGTTTTGCACACTTAATTAATGCTAATCACTTTACCGTACATCTAGTGATTCGATCTTAGGTTGATTTGAGCCTCGAAAGTGTTGTATCATTCGCCGGACATATTCTTTGACAAGCTAGGTTTCTTAGACTGCGAAAGTTGATTTACTTAACCTAGTGAACTGTATCCGAACTTGCTCGATCTAATGCTTGATTTAATCACCTAGGGACATACCAAAAGTTTAGCGACTAGGTAGATTAACAAAGGAACCGGAGCCTCGACAGTGGAATGGTTTTACATTCGTGATTGGTGTTCTAGACGGATCTTACATCCCATATCCCTAAATAGATATAAATCAATCATCAATCTTATCATATATGAATCTCTGCGAATTACCTATTGCCTAGCGTCTTTCCACATTGAACTTACACCGCTTTCATATTGCTTTCTTTTAGTTTAGTTCTTTTGCATACCAAAACCCCAATTCATCCTTTTGTCCTAGCTAAGTTAGACTTGCATAGCTTGTAGTGCACTTATCTGCTCCTTGTGTTCGACAACCCGTTACTACACCTGACCTGTGCACTTGCAGAATCAGGGATAGGAATAGGTGATGATAGGATTTGTGTGTGGGTGAAGTGATATGAATATGAAATGGAATGCAAACAGGGGTGAATAAAGATGATATGGTATGGTGCAATCACAATCAATCAATTCCTCTTAACCATCATAGTCAATGTAGTATAAGAGGTTATCAATCCAAAATGGGAAACTTGTCACTCTTTGAGAATATGAAATGACCAGGAAGTCAAGCAAGCAATAATAGATTTGGGGTAACACTAACAACCTAAGAAATGGAGATGCAGTGCAATAAAGGTAAACAAAGCAAGTAAACAAGTAGCTCGACCAGTGACTCGAGTCAAGTAGGAACAGAGTACCAAGCTCGATCTTGAGGGTCGAGTTAGCGAGAAAAGCAGTAAAGGTGACGACTTTAACAAGATAAAGAGAGAATTAGGGTTCAAGACAGGGTTTTGCGATCAAAGGAATCTACACTTAATCAATCTAGCTCTTAAAACTCCTTGTATCAAGGCTTCTCTTGATATTGGGCTTCTCAATGCCTAGCCAACCCTTTCCCAAGGTGGAGGCTATCAACCAAGGAATGATCTCAGAAACAGGGGGTTAGCCAGTGAGAATCAAACCTTGGAGGCTATAGGATCATTGCCCAAACTAATCCATCCAACCCCTTAGACCTCTATGTCTAGAGCAAGAGATATTGGAGCTCTTAGTGGATCTTTTCCAGGGAATGCCATCACTTTCGTGTGGGGAATCGCCTAAGGACTTACAAGCCAGGGGTAGTGGTCATGTAGCCTTAAGATCTAACCAAAAGAGAGAGAATCTAGATTAAGACCATAAGCTAGAAATATTAAGCATATGAACCCTCTAATCTATCCCATCTCAAACCCTAATGGGTAACTACTCACTAAACATAAATGTAAACACTGATTATCTCTCCCCTCACTGCCGGGTTTTCCCAATATACGTCCCTGATGCTCTCAAAATACCCTGAAGAAGAAGAAGAAGAAGATGAGACGAACACTGCCTTTGTTTTTCTGTTTAAAACTTTGCTTGAAGGGAGATGATGTCTCTGTTTGTCTACTTCAGGAAGCAGCTCGTGTCTAACTCCACAAGCTAGAATCTGCTCTACCAAATGCTGAAACTGGTCATTTCCAGTGTCAGAGACCTCAATACGGATTCCAATTCTCTGATCAGCTTTAGCAAGATAAGCGCTATTATTGAAATAAGCAAGTGCAAATACAAAGCAAATAATCCAGGATCTAAGATTCAAGAAGCAAGAGCTTCAAGAACACAAAGATTGGATTAGAGTTGCTAAAAAGTAAAAGTTCAATAAAATAAAAGAAACTAAAACAAAATAATGTAAAAGCTTGGTGGTTTTTTCGTGGCTAAGAGCCCTTAAATACAAAGAGGATTAGGTTTAGGGTCAAAGGGAAGTCAAGGGGGAAGCAACATTTTTCGGGTTTGACTTTGACTTCCCAGCTCGATCGAGTTGAAGCTTGGCCGGTCGAGTTGAGGAACTCGACCGGTTGGTCGAGTAGACGGTCGAGCTGGTCTTCAAGATGGCTTCTCCTTCTTCCTTGCGTGCCAGTTGAGCTGCTCCATGTGCCAAGTCCTTCCATGCTCCTTATCCCATATGCTCCAGAATGCTCCAAAAGACCTATTTCAAAGGACCAAACATGCATATGTATGCAAATGCAACCTAAAACTACATGAATGCATAAGAAGAGAAAAGGAACAAGATATGATGCAAATGGATGCTAAAACTATGCAAAAGATGCATAAAAGATGTACTAAAACTATGCAAAATGCAAGTACATCAACACCCCCAAACTTGACCTTTGCTTGCCCTCAAGCAAACAAATAGAACAAGAAAGAGATGAGGTTTGAAAACAAGTTGATTCAACATTAAAAACATGTCCTCAAAAGCGATTTGCTAAATGTCCAACTTAGAGATTCTAAAATGCAACAAGGTGAGAGATATTCATTAAGATTTAACCATGCTTATCAACATCAATCCCACTTCACAGTCACTCAAACAATGCATTCAAATCAGCAAATCCCTTTAACATTCATTAAGTAAAAACAGTGAACCAAAAACATGCAAGATCAATCAACTCATTTGGTTTAAGGGTTTATGGGTTAAGAGACAAAGAGGGTCTCTTTTGTATGGTGGTTTAGTAACAGGGATCTCTCAAGAAAGTGGCTTTGCTTTGGCAGAAGGCTAAGTGTTAGAACCAAAGATGATGCAAGAACAGCAGCTCGAGCCGCCTAATCCTAACTCGATCGAGTTCAACACTTAGAGCTTTTTAGAACAAAATCCTAACTACCCTTTTTGGCATTTCGCCTTTGAAACTGAGGAGCTTTGCTCACTTTTCTTTTAAGAACTTCCTAGGGAGAGGCTTCTTGAGGTAACATCTAGCGGTTTGGGATTTTCTAAACACTTAGGGAACTTTTCTTTCCTTTTTGACACTTGAGGCTTTGCCTTCTTTTCTTCTACTTAGAACCCTTTTTACTTCTTTTTTAACTTCCCAAACCTTTACTAGACCCTTTTTAAACACTGCCAACTCCCTGGACTTAACTAAACTCTTTTTCTTTGGATTTTCCCAACTTTTACCACTTTTCTGGTTTTTGACACCCAACTCGATCGAGCTCGAGTTGGCACCCCCAAACTTAGCCTGAAAACAACCCAAGAGAACTAGACAACTAGAACTACTGCTCCTGCCGGTTTAAACACAACACCTTATGCTAAGCAAAGCCAAGAAAGGTTCTCACAATTCGCACAAGAGATAATATGGGGTTTGAAATGAAAAGGCTTAGGTTTAAGGTGTGGTAACTGTCTCAAAGATAGAGATCAGCTATCTGGACAAGCAAGAGGGATATGAAAGTGAAAGAATGTCCAGATATGTATGTGGTAGCCATGAGTTGAAATCAAATGCAAGCATTGGTAATTAAAGATCAAGTTATGGTTCAAATAGATAGGGAAATGCATCAAATCACAGCAATGGTTGAATGAGATGTGCATGCAGTGATATGATCAAGATAAACATGGTTCTTGCTGCTCAATCAATCTCACCCTAATGCACAAAAGAATCTAAAAACAGGGCACTCAAGAAATCGCAAATGATGAACAAGTTTTCAAAGTCAAATCAACAATGCAAGTGAAAAATGCAATCCTAAACAATCTAACAAATATGAATGCAAAAAGATGAAAATATTTTTGGATTTTTTGAAAATTTTATGATTTTTTTGGTTTTTCTATGCAAAAGATAATGAAAAACTAAGAACAAAGAAAACAAGGTTAAATCATCTCTTGAACCCTCCCCCAAACTTAAATCACACAGTCCCTTGTGTGAGAAAATTTAGTGAAAGATTCAAGAGGGCAAAACCAAGAAAAAAAAACAAGAACAAACAAGAAAATATGAAATGGTATTACAAGGGTTGGTGTTTGATACCTCAGTGCCCCCAAAGAACTGGGAGGCAAGGTCGTGGTCTGGAGAGGGAGACGGCCATCAGGAGCACTCCACTGCGGGATGTAGCTCGATCGAGCTTGCTCTGGCTCGATCGAGTTGTGCCTCGAGTTGGTCTCCTTCCTTCCCAAAACCTGTTCCTGCAAGACTTAGCTAAGAAAAACGCAGAGATAAAAAAGTAAAACAATATGTACAAGATAGACATGGGAATTCCTCCCAAGTGAGCTTGTTTTAGGTCTCATAGCTTGACCTTAAACCTTTTAGGCAGGGGTTGGATCTTGAAGAGGAGTGATGATCTCCTCTGTGGGGGTCATTCCTAGATAGGCTTGCATCTGTGCCCATTCACTGTGAATTCCTTTCCTTCCTTGTTGAGCAGAGTGAGTGATCCGTAGGGTAGAACTTCTGATCTTGAATGGTCCCGACCACTTTGATCTTAACTTCCCGGGAAACAACCTCAGCTTGGAGTTAAACAAGAGCACACTGTCCCCAACCTTGAAGTCTTTAAGGCGAATCAGTTTGTCGTGGGCTGCCTTGGTTCTCATCTTGTAATCATGGAGTTCTCATAGGCATTCATTCTGATTTCCTCCAACTCAAACAAGTTCATTACCCTCTTTCTTGTGCTGCCTTTTATGTCAAAGTTCAGCATCTTTACTGCCCATAAGCCTTGTATTCGACCTCCACAGGCAAGTGGCAATCCTTTCCCATATAGCAAATTGAAAGGAGACCTTCCAATGGGGGTTTTGTAAGCTGTTCTATAAGCCCAAAGTGCTTCATCAAGCCTTGCTGACCAATCCTTTCCTAGTGAAGCTCACAGTCTTCTCCAATATAGCCTTAATCTGTCTGTTGGAGACCTCAACTTGCCCACTGGTTTGAGGGTGATAGGGTGTGGCGACCTTGTGCTTGACTCCATAGCTCTTCATCAACTTCTCAAACACCTTGTTGATGAAATGGGAACCTCCATCTGAAATAACAACCCTTGGGATGCCATATCTTGGAAAGATGATGGTTCTGAACAGTTTGATAACAACCTTGGCATCACAGGCTGGGCAGGGGATGGCTTCAATCCATTTGGACACATAGTCCACAGCAACCAAAATGTAGTTGTGCCCGTTTGAGGAGGTTTGAAAGGTCCCATGAAGTCTATTCCCCATACATCAAAATCTCAACTTCTAGAATTGGGTTTAGTGGCATTTCATCCTCTTGGTGATCCCTCCTTTCCTTTGGCATGGATCACACTTGGCATGAACTTGCTGCATCCTTGAACAAGGTAGGCCACCATAACCAGATTGCAAACCTTAGTTGCGGTTTTGAATGTAGCAAAGTGACCTCCATAAGCAGACCCATGGCAATGCTCTAGAACTCCTTGTACATCTTCTTCAGCTATGCATCTTCTGTAAATGCTATCTGGTCCTCTCTTGTACAAGTAAGGCTCATCCCAATAGTAGTGCCTAGCATCCTTGAAGAACTTCTTCCTCTTGTAAGCATCAAAACTACTAGGACTTCTCCAGACACCATGAAGTTCACTATATCAGCATACCATGGCAAATTCTCATCACGCAGAGCCTTAACTTCTTCCAGCCTGACTTTCTCATCAAAACTTCTTTCAAGATCATGATTGCCATAAGCTGTTCTTCAGGCATAGAATCATTGATGGGGACTAGTCTTCAACTCGCATCCTAGAGAGATGATCAGCAACTCCATTCTCCACTCCCTTTTGTCCACAACTTCTATGTCAAACTCTTGAAGCAAAAGGATCCATCTGAGAAGTCTTGGCTTTGTATCTTTCTTAGCAAAGATGTGCCTAAGGGCAGCATGGTCAGTGTGCACAATCACCTTGGACCCAACTATATAGCTTCGAAAATTTCTCAAAGGCAAAGACTATGGCAAGGAGCTCCTTCTCTGTGGTTGCATACTTGCATTGAGCATCATCCATAGTCTTGCTTGCATAGTAGATGACATTGAGTTTCTTGTCTATCTTTTGGCCAAGCACTGCTCCTACTGCATAGTCAGATGCATCACACATAATCTCAAATGGGTGATCCCAGTTTGGAGCTTGAACTATTGGGGCAGATACCAGAGCATCCTTCAGCAAGGTCCAAGACTTGTGGCATTCTTCATCAAACTCAAAATCTGTCTCCTTGCACAGAAGTCTTGTCAAGGGTCTTGCTATCTTTGAGAAATCCTTGATGAATCTTCTGTAGAACCCTGCATGACCCAGAAAACTCCTGATGTCCTTCACAGTCTTGGGAACAGGGAAGCTGCAACATGACATCCACCTTAGCTCGATCGAGCTCGATCCCTTTCTCGGAAATCTTGTGTCCAAGCACAATCCCTTCTTGAACCATGAAGTGGCACTTCTCCCAGTTGAGTACTAGATTTGTCTCCTCACACCTCTGCAACACCCTGCACAAGTTAGACAAACATGAGGAGAAGGATGCTCCATAGACTGAGAAATCGTCCATGAAGACTTCTACCATCTCCTCTATCAGATCTGAAAAAATGGAGGTCATGCATCTCTGGAAAGTAGCTGGAGCATTGCACAGCCCAAATGGCATCCTTCGATAAGCAAAGGTGCCATAAGGGCATGTGAAAGTGGTCTTCTCCTGATCATTAGGGTGGATCGGGATTTGGAAGAAACCACTGTAACCATCAAGAAAACAATAAAAGGGTGGTTTGCCAATCTTTCTAACATCTGATCAATGAAAGGGAGAGGGAAATGATCCTTTCTAGATGCTGAATTTAACTTCCTATAGTCAATACACATGCGATGCCCCACTATTGTTCTAGTGGGAATCAGCTCCTCTTTGTCATTTTTAATGACAGTGATCCCCCCTTTCTTTGGGACGCAATGAACTGGAGATATCCAAGTGCTATCACTGATGGGATAGATTATCCCAGCATCAAGCAACTTGAGTATCTCTTTCTTCACTACTTCCTTTAGATTGGGGTTCAATCTTCTTTGAGGTTCAATGCTTGACTTACTTTCATCCTCTAGATGAATCCTATGGATGCATAGGTCAGGGGAGATCCCCTTGATATCATCTAGAGTGTAACCTATTGCCTTTCTGTACTTCTCAATTCAACCAGCAAAGCACTCAACTGTTCAGGCTCCAAATCAGAGTTCACAATGACATGGTAAGTTGAGTTTTCTCCCAGAAATGCATAGCTGAGGCCCTCAGGCAAAGGTTTGAGGTCGACTTTAGGCGCCTTGAGCTCAGAACAATCTCCTTGAGCTTGTTCTTTGCATTCAGTTCCCAGCTCGATCGAGTTTGCTTGTTCGAAACCCGACTCGATCGAGCTCTTGATCGAGCTTACTGCCATGACCTCGCAAACTGGCCTGTCCAACCCCTCAATGCTCAGAATGTTTGGAACTGGTCTGAAGGTGTCAAGGAGCTTCTTGTACTCCTCGGTTTCTGAGCTCACATATCCTTCTGAAGAATCCTTGGTCAAAGCAATTTGTAGGGGATCCTTCAATGATAGCTCTTCTAAAAGCTCATCTGCCAACTGATCCATCTCCTCAACATAAAAGAGCTGACCTTCTATTGTTGGTTTCCTCATTGTATCCTTGATGTCAAACTTCATTCTTAGGTCCTTTCCCAAGTTTAGCTCAATTGTGCCTTCACAGACATCTATCATTGCTCTTGCTGCAGCTAGGAATGGCCTTCCTAGTATCAGTGGATCTGTTGGTTCCTTATCCATCTCCAGCACAATGAAGTCGGTGGGGATTTTTACATTCCATATTCTCAAAGGCAGGTCTTCAAGCATTCCGGTTGGTAACCGTATCGATCTATCTGCCAAGACTAATGAGATTCCGCAGGCTTGATACTTGTGATATCCCAGTCTCTTCGCTACAGACAAAGGCATGAGGCTGACAGATGATCCTAGATCGCAGAGACTGTTTTTGAAAGATAGGGGTCCCAACATGCAGGGCAAAGTGAAACTCCCCAGATCTTCCTTTTTGTCGGAGATGACCTTCCGCTGAATGATTGCACTGCACTCACGAGTCAACACTACCATCCCTTGTGCTTCCCTGGTTCTTTGCTGAACAGCATCCTTCAGGAATTTTTGATAAGGTGGAATGAGCATCAAGGCGTCGATGACAGGCAACTTCAGCTCAGCTGTCTCATTAGTTCATCAAACTCGATCGAGCTCTGGTTTGTCTTTCTGAGTCTCGGTTTCTTCAGCTCGATCGAGTCTGGTTCAGGGTTTTGTTCCAGCTCGATCGAGTTCGGTGCCGGAATATCGTCATACTCGACCAAATCCTCCCCTTCCTCGTCATCGATGTCCACAGCGATTTGGGGTGGGCTACCCCTGCTTGGAAACTGTCGCCCACTTCTCAGTGTAACAGCTTGAGCATACTCTTGAGATGAAGAGGATGACGCACTAGAAGACTCAATGGTTTGCACTCTTGAAGTCAATGACTCCAGTTTGGAGTTTATCTCAACTTGTGGTTCATTTCTAGTGAACCTTTGGCTTGCCCTTGAAGGAGTTGTTGGAGCATATCCTTCATATCCCAATCTTGGCTTGGTTGGGTATAGCATTGGTGGGAATCCTGGTGGGAAACTTGGAAGGTGCCCTTTCTGGTTGGATCTGTGTGGAGTGATTCTGTAAGCCACAGGTGCTTGGTAAAATGTGTGACCATAGATGGTCTTCCTTGTGGTTGGAGGGGTGCTTGTATGTTGTTGCTCCTCCCCTTCCTGTTTGATAGCCTGTGTTGTATCAGAGATAGAGCTGACTTTTTGGGAGGGAATTGAGCTACAATCAGCTTGTCAATCTTCGAATGGAGAGCCTGCAAGTCTTTTCGCATCTGGGCCTCGGACTCGATCGAGTGAGCGGTCGAGCTCCAGTCAGTGCTATCATAATTGTCTCCATAGCTTCTGTTGAGAGGGCGATGTTCTCCACAAGTTGCCAGCCATCATCACATCTTGGTTGAGGAAGTTCCCATTGCTAGCTGTGTCTAGCATCTCCCTATACCTAGGCAAGCATCCTCTATAAAGAGTGGAGAGTATGATTCATTGTTGAATCCATGGTGTGGGCACTGACTTGTGTACCCTTTGAACCTCTCCCAAGCCTCTGCGAATGTCTCATTGTTTCGCTGGATGAAGCTGGATATCTCACTCCTCTAAGCTTGGCTGTGCGACCGGTGGAGAAAAACTTAGCAAGAAAGGCCTTCTTGCATTCATCCCAAGTGGTGATTGTGCCATGGGGCAAGCTCTTCTCCCATTGGTGAGCTTTGTCAGCTAGAGACATAGGAAAGAGTCTCAGCTTGATGGCATCTTCAGAGACACCATTGATCTTTGTCAAATCACAAAGCCTATCAAACTCATCAAGGTGGTCAATGGGGTCTTCACTTGGCAATCCATGGAACATCTTGTTCTGGACAAGGTTGATCATTCCCAGCTTGATCTCAAAGTTGTGGTTCTGCACTGGTGGTGGAACAATCCCTTGTCTCTGTTGGTGGCGGTTTGGAGCATCTCCTTGACCAATCGGTCGAGTTTGCCTAGCTCGACCGAGTCCATTGCCCAAAGGGTTTCCATTCCCCTCTGGTACATCCATTGTATCAGCAACAAGCACCTCAGGTTCCTCTTGTACCCTCTGTGACCTCTGAACCCTCTTTCTACCCGTTGTAAAGTCTAGCTCGACCAAGTCTTCTGTAGACCGACTCGATCGAGTTCGCATACACCTGCAAAAAGAGACAAAAACCCAGCAGTACAATAGAACAGGGGTGGTATAGCTTGATCGTCCAAGTGTGTTTGAAACTCAAATGCAACAAAAATATCCCAAATCGGCAACGGCGCCAAATTGATGATAGGATTTGTGTGTGGTGTGAAATGATATGAAATGAGATGTGGTGGAATGCAACAGTGGTATATGATGAGGTGGTAAGATGCAAACACAAACACAGTCAACAATTCCCTTTAACCATCATAGTTGTTATAGTAAAGGGTTATCAATCCAAAATGGGGAAACTTGTCACTCTATGAGAATATGAAAAACAAGGAAGTCAAGCAAGCAGTAAATGATATGGTAACACTAACAACCTAAAAAATGAAATGCAATGCAATAAAAGTAAAAAAGCAGTAAGCAACAGCTCGACCAAGGACTCGAGTCGAGTGGAACAGAGTACCAGCTCGATCGAGTTTAGGGTCGAGTTGAGAAAAGCAGTAAAGGAGCGACTTTAACAAGCTAAGAGAGAATTAGGGTTCAAGACAGGGTTTTGCAATAGGAATCTACACTTAATCATCTAGCTCTTAAAACTCCTTGTATCAAGGCTTCTCTTGATATTGGGCTTCTCAATGCCTAGCCAACCCTTTCCCAAGGTGGAGGCTATCAACCAAGGAATGATCTCAGAAACAGGGGGTTAGCCAGTGAGAATCAAACCTTGGAGGCATAGGATCATTGCCCAAACTAATCCATCCAACCCCTTAGACCTCTATTTCTAGAGCAAGAGATATTGGAGCTCTTAGTGGATCTTTTCCAGCGAATTTGCCATCACTTCCATGTGGAGAATCGCCTAAGGACTTACAAGCCAGGGGTAGTGGTCATGTAGCCTTAAGATCTATCCAAAAGAGAGAGAATCTAGATTAAGACCATAAGCTAGAAGGATTAAGCATATGAAACCTCTAATCTATCCCATCTCAAACCCTAATGGGTAACTACTCACTACACATGAATGTAAACACAAGCAAATGCAATAAAAGAGACATCATAAGAAAGAGGAGATAAAATAAACAACTTTTATTGAAATAAGCAAGTGCAAATACAAAGAGATTATCCAGGATCTAGGATTCAAGAAGCAAGAGCTTCAAGAACACAAAGATGGGATTAGAGCTCTAAAAAGTAAAAGACAATAATTAAAAGAAACTAAAACAAAAGTAATCTAAAGCTTGGTGGTTTTTTCGTGGCTTTTAGCCTTTAAATACAAAGAGGATTAGGTTTAGGGTCAAAGGAAAGTCAAGGGGGAAGCAACATTTTTCGGGTTTGACTTTGACTTCTCAGCTCGATCGAGTTGAAGCTTGGCCGGTCGAGTAGATGGTCGAGCTGGTCTTCAAGATGGCTTCTCCTTCTTCCTTTGCGTATCCAGTTGAGCTGCGTCCATGCGCCAAGTCCCTCCATGCTCCTCATGTCCCATATGCTCCAGAATGCTCCAAAAGACCTATTTCAAAGGACCAAACATGCATATGTATGCAAATGCAACCTAAAACTAACATGAATGCATAAGAAGAGAAAAGGAACAAGATATGATGCAAATGGATGCTAAAACTATGCAAAAGATGCATAAAAGATGTACTAAAACTATGTAAAATGCAAGTACATCATTAGCTCAATTTGATTGTTTAGCATCCTATCATGCTCTTAATACTTGATTTAGATTCGGTTTGCTCTGTTTTTGATACTCGAGTTTTTTGACTCGATCGAGTTGGGTGTCGAGTTTTTTGACTCGATCGAGTTGGGTGTCGAGTTGACTGAATGATCATTACAACTCTAATTCTTTTTGGATCTTTGATGAATTTCAGGAATTCTAGTTGGAAGAGGAGCATAACAAAGATGACAAGCAGTGAGGGAAGCCGTGCTTCGCAAAGGAGAATGGTGGAGGGTGAAACAAGCAATGCGATTCAAGAGAGGTAAAAGTTGCAAGCCAATATGGAAGAAATGATTCAAAGGGTTGGAGATTCTGATGCTGAGGGTTATGATCAGGCAGAGTTGGAGTCTGAGAGCGAGAGATAGAGGAAAGAGAGAAGGACCAAGAAAAGAAATGATCCCATAAGTAGTGAAAGCGAGCAAGGAGAGTTTGAGATTGGGGTCAATCATGGAAGAGAGGAAAGTGATGAGTCTCCAAGTGAAGAAGGAGAGGAGGTTAATCAAGAGGGTGATGGAAGTGGCAATGAGAGTAACCAAGCTGAGCCAATGGAGGAAGATGAACCACAAGAAGTGGAGGATGAACTCCCCATGTTTCAAGAGCACTACAATTCTCTCCTCTCTATGGACTTTGTGGAGACCAAGTACCCACATGATGATACAATGAAGGCACTTGGGATCTTCAAGGATGTGGAGCTAGTGCTTAAAAACATGCACTTGGCCAAGTTCTTCTCTCATAGGATGGAGTCCTACAAGGAGTTGACTTGTGAGTTCCAAGCATCGATGAGGTACCACGAGTATGATGAGCTCGATCGAGCTGACTTGGACCAAGGCTGGGGATGGATAACGTTCTTGGCAAAGGGAGAAAAGAACATGGTCACCTTTAGACAGCTAGAGATACTGTTTGGCTTCACATATGGGGAAGGAACTCATTGGGATATCAAGGAGAATGAGCTCCAAAGTGTGTGAGCTACAATCGCTGAGGGAGAGTTCTCTTCTTCAAGATCCAAGGCTGCTCAGATAAGGAGTCCTGTGCTGAGATATGTGCACAAAGCCCTTGCCAACACCTTCTTTGCAATAAAGGCAACATGGACAATCAATGAAGGAGAAGTCAAGCTACTTGAAATGGGGATTAAGCCCATCATCTCACGCGCCAGTGATGGAAGGAAGCTCAGAGGAGACAGAGTACACGCATGAAACCTCATGCCCCTCCTTGAGCAGCTACTATCCTACAAGACCACAGCCTAAAGCACTCGATTCCAAGGAGGGAGAAGGCTGAGCGTTGGAGGGATCATTACACCTATCCTCTGTGCAGCTGGTGTCCAGCTAAACAAGAAAAAGGCAACTCCAGCTGGGTGGATGGACATCAAGTTCTGTAAAACCAACACCCTCATCGCTCATGATGATAGGATTTGTGTGTGGGTGTGAAATGATATGAAATGAGATGTGGTGGAATGCAACAGTGGTATATGATGAGGTGGTAAGATGCAAACACAAACACAAGACTTGATCTCAGAAACAGGGGGTTAGCCAGTGAGAATCAACCTTGGAGGCCATAGGATCATTGCCCAAACTAATCCATCCAACCCCTTAGACCTCCATTTCTAGAGCAAGAGATATTGGAGCTCTTAGTGGATCTTTTCCAGCGATTTCCATCACTTCCATGTGGAGAATCGCCTAAGGACTTACAAGCCAGGGGTAGTGGTCATGTAGCCTTAAGATTATCCAAAAGAGAGAGAATCTAGATTAAGACCATAAGCAAGAAGGATTAAGCATATGAAACCTCTAATCTATCCCATCTCAAACCCTAATGGGTAACTACTCACTACACATGAATGTAAACACAAGCAAATGCAATAAAAGAGACATCATAAGAAAGAGGAGATGAAATAAACAACTTTTATTGAAATAAGCAAGTGCAAATACAAAGAGATTATCCAGGATCTAGGATTCAAGAAGCAAGAGCTTCAAGAACACAAAGATGGGATTAGAGCTCTAAAAAGTAAAAGACAATAAATTAAAAGAAACTAAAACAAAATAATCTAAAGCTTGGTGGTTTTTTCGTGGCTTTTAGCCTTTAAATACAAAGAGGATTAGGTTTAGGGTCAAAGGAAAGTCAAGGGGGAAGCAACATTTTTCGGGTTTGACTGTTGACTTCTCAGCTCGATCGAGTTGAAGCTTGGCCGGTCGAGTTGAGGAACTCGACCGGTTGGTCGAGTAGATGGTCGAGCTGGTCTTCAAGATGGCTTCCTCCTTCTTCCTTTGCGTATCCAGTTGAGCTGCGTCCATGTGCCAAGTCCCTCCATGCTCCTCATGTCCCATATGCTCCAGAATGCTCCAAAAGACCTATTTCAAAGGACCAAACATGCATATGTATGCAAATGCAACCTAAAACTACTATGAATGCATAAGAAGAGAAAAGGAACAAGATATGATGCTAATGGATGCTAAAACTATGCAAAAGATGCATAAAAGATGTACTAAAACTATGTAAAATGCAAGTACATCAACACCCCCAAACTTGACTTTGCTTGCCCTCAAGCAAACAAATAGAACAAGAAAGAGATGAGGTTTGAAAACAAGTTGATTCAACACTTAAAAACATGTCCTCAAAAGCGATTTGCTAAATGTCCAACTTAGAGATTCTAGAATGCAACAAGGTGAGAGATATTCATTAAGATTTAACCATGCTTATCAACATCAATCCCACTTCACAGTCACTCAAACAATGCATTCAAATCAGCAAATCCCTTTAACATTCATTAAGCAAAAACAGTGAACCAAAAACATGCAAGATCAATCAACTCATTTGGTTTCAAGGGTTTATGGGTTAAGAGACAAAGAGGGTCTCTTTTGTATGGTGGTTTAGTAACAGGGATCTCTCAAGAAAGTGGCTTTGCTTTGGCAGAAGGCTAAGTGTTAGAACCAAAGATGATGCAAGAACAGCAGCTCGAGCCGCCTAATCCTAACTCGATCGAGTTCAACACTTAGAGCTTTTTAGAACAAAATCCTAACTACCCTTTTTGGCATTTCGCCTTTGAAACTGAGGAGCTTTGCTCACTTTTCTTTTAAGAACATCCTAGGGAGAGGCTTCTTGAGGTAACATCTAGCGGTTTGGGATTTTCTAAACACTTAGGGAACTTTTCTTTCCTTTTTGACACTTGAGGCTTTGCCTTCTTTTCTTTCTACTTAGAACCCTTTTTACTTCTTTTTTAACTTCCCAAACCTTTACTAGACCCTTTTTAACACTGCCAACTCCCTGGACTTAACTAAACTCTTTTTCCTTTGGATTTTCCCAACTTTTACCACTTTTCTGGTTTTTACACCCAACTCGATCGAGCTCGAGTTGGCACCCCCAAACTTAGCCTGAAAACAATCCCAAGAGAACTAGACAACTAGAACTACTGCCCCTGCCGGTTTAAACACAACACCTTATGCTAAGCAAAGCCAAGAAAGGTTCTCACAATTCGCACAAGAGATAATAAGGGGTTTGAAATGAAAAGGCTTAGGTTTAAGGTGTGGTAACTGTCTCAAAGATAGAGATCAGCTATCTGGACAAGCAAGAGGGATATGAAAATGGTAAAGAATGTCCAGATATGTATGTGGTAGCCATGAGTTGAAATCAAATGCAAGCATTGGTAATTAAAGATCAAGTTATGGTTCAAATAGATAGGGAAATGCATCAAATCACAGCAATGGTTGAATGAGATGTGCATGCAGTGATATGATCAAGATAAACATGGTTCTTGCTGCTCAATCAATCTCACCCTAATGCACAAAAGAATCTAAAAACAGGGCACTCAAGAAATCGCAAAAGATGAACAAGTTTTCAAAGTCAAATCAACAATGCAAGTGAAAGATGCAATCCTAAACAAGTCTAACAAATATGAATGCAAAAAGATGAAAATATTTTTGGATTTTTTGAAAATTTTATGATTTTTTTGGTTTTTCTATGCAAAAGAGAATGAAAAACTAAGAACAAAGAAAACAAGGTTAAATCATCTCTTGAACCCTCCCCCAAACTTAAATCACACAGTCCCTTGTGTGAGAGAAATTTAGTGAAAGATTCAAGAGGGCAAAACCAAGAAAAAAAAGCAAAGAAAATATGAAATGGTATGTACAAGGGTTGGTGTTTGATACCTCAGTGCCCCCCAAAGAACTGGGAGGCAAGGTCGTGGTCTGGAGAGGGCAGACGGCCATCAGGGACGCTCCACTCGACGGGTTCGCCTCGCTCGATCGAGCTTGCGGCTCCTCTTCTTCCTCTTCTTCATCGAAGTGTGTGTGGCTCCCTTGGCCTTGGAGGAGCTGGCTTGCTCGAAGCGGTTGTAGGGGTCCAGAGGTCTGAGAGAAGTCCTGGTAGGCGTTGATCGTACTCGAATCCGGGGTTCTCAAACAGGGGCTCCTCCAGGTCAACTCGACCCTCAGCTCGATCGAGTTGAGTTTCCTCTGTTTGGACTCGATCGAGTCCGGTGGTCGAGCTGGAGCGTCTGGCCTTAGAGCTCTTCCTCCTTCTCTGAGTTGTCTTCTCCTTCCCTTGGCTCGAATGAAGAGGCTCTGTGAGGTTCTTGGGTAGGGAGCCTCCTTTGAGTGGTGAGGAGTGATCTACTCCTAGGGAAAGTGGGGGCCATTGCTGATTGATTGAGTTTCGGAATTGCTTTAGTGCCCTAGTTCTAAGTTGTTTGGCGCTTTTGATAGTTCTTGAAGTTAAGGTAGAACCGCATCATAAAAAAAAAAAAGCATCATGACTGTCTTAGTAAAACCGAATGCATTGTTGTGATTTGAATCTGCTCCTTATCTAAGTGAAACCTGAACCTGAACTTCAATTATTATGCTCATGCTTGTTAAGTTTAGCTCGTGGATTGTACATACTTGAATCATCTTTGCATCATTGTTTATCCTTCTTTGTTGATTCAAGTAGAACTCCCTGCCCTTAACCAACCCTTCCTTTCAAACCAAATGTTGTTCTTGTGTGTTGTGAGGCCTTTTTGAAGCAGCTTGGCATAAAGTGTTAGGTCTTGAGCCGACAAGGATAGGTGATCATGTAGATTCTGGTCCACGCTTTTTGGGCCAGACTAGGTTAGGACCTGGGTTTGGGAATGTCTTGGGTTGGGATTCAAAAGAAAAGAAAGAAAGAGCTTGTAAGCAAAAAGAAAGAAGCGTTTCAGCTAAGGTAGATAAGAGCTTGGTCTGTGAGTTTAAGAGAGCCCCCATCAGAAAACAAAAAGTAAAAAAAAAAAAGAGAAAAAGAGTTCCAAAAAGGAAAAGATGGGTTAGGGCAAAAGTTTAGACCAAGTCTCTCGGTTTGTCTTTCAAAAAGCCTTAGAAAATTCGCTAAAGTTTCAAAAAGCTCTAAGAAAAGGAAAAGAAAAACCCAAAGGGAAAGGGTAGAAATAGGAAGTTTCGGGTTTGAGAGTCACCAAAAGGTACTTGGGGTTTCGGGTAGATGATCATTTGTCCTTGTACCTCCCAATTGGTTCTCGCCTTTAGCATTATGCCGAAGCTGTTTCACTTCTTCTTGAGAGAACCCTTCCTTTGTCATTTGACATGAGCTTGCATTGTGATTTGCTCTCTCTCTTTCTATTGGCCAAACGAGTTAACTTGACTTGCATGTGTTTTGATTCACTGTTTTAGCTCTTAATGAATGTTAAAAGGAGTAGAGGATTTGAATGCATGTTTAGGTTGAGCTAGTGGTCATTGATTGTGATTATGAAGGTGCGGCTAAGATTTTTGAAGTAGAGAACATCTTTTGCGCTTTAGACCTTGGAACTAGGTTGTTGAATCGATTTCTCTTCTCGGCTTTCACTTGACTCTATTGCTCAGAGAACACTCTTATGCTTGGTTGATGTTTGCTTGAGGGCAAGCAAAGACTAAGTGTGGGGGTGTTGATGTACTCAACATTTGCATACATTTAGCCTCTCATACTGCATAGTTCTGTGTATAATTGAGTCCCATTTCATAACATTTAGAGTAGCTTTAGTCTACTTAGGATCATTTAGCCTTTAGGATAGCATTTTGCATTTCCATTGCATTTGGGGTGCATTTATCAGGTATTCGGAGCTTATGGCGAGGAGAGACCGGAGGTGATGATCGGAGATGGACCAGAAGGAGATCGGAGTAATCGGATGGCAAAACAAGCAAGACGGAACAGAGCCTTGAGCAAAAGGAAACAGAGTGCTTGAGGAAGTTGCTCAAGCTGCGCGCATCTGTGAAGTCAAAGCAAAAACGTTGACCAAAGGATACACTTTTCCCTTCTCTATATAAACCTTTAAGACCTAATTTTTAGGCAATCTTTATCTTGTAACCAGTTTCTCTCCAAGAAAAACAGTTTGTTCTTGGAGATCTTTTGTAAGCTTTTACTTTGAATCTTTTAAGTTTAAGAAGTACTTAGTTTGCTAATCTTGTCTTAATGATGATTTCTAGCTTTCTTTACCTCTTTGCTTTCGGTTCGAGTATGAGTAGCGAGTAGTTCTTTAGAGGTTTCGAGGGTGAGATTAGGAAAGGTCAGAGCTTTAGCTTCCTGTTAACCTCTTCCTTAATCTCCCTTGACCAGCTTTTCTTTAGCTAGAGCTTTATATCTCGGCTTCTTCTTGATCACTTGAAGTCGCGAATCTAGGCTAGTACACCTAGAAGGTGTTTGCGTTAATGCCTAAGAGAGCTAGCGATAGAGAGAAACATTCCCAACCTAAGAGATTGGTTGTTGGGATGTATCTTGTGCACTTTTAGACTAGATCTTGTGAAAGCTTGTAACTTTGAGTCCACTAGTGAGAGCTAGCTTTGGATTCTCAGCTTGCAAAGCGATCTGACCACGAGAGTGGCAGATTTACCCAAAGTCTAAGCACAAAGCTTGAGTCTTGGTGTGTTGAGAAAGGAAGGTTGAGCTCGTTTGATCCCAACTAAGTCTCACCCAAGACGCCTCCTTTATCTTTTATTGTCAAAGTTTAAATCTTTATTTCATCTTGTTAGCTTAAAGCATAGATCTTTACAAAACAAAACCCAATCTTTTATCGAAACTTGATCTTTGCCTTTTCTTTATTTCGATAGTTTAAATCTCCACTTGGATTGACATCTCAAGTACTACAATGACATGAGTGGTATGGATTGAGAGTAGTTGATACAAAAATCCTACTTATCAACTTGGCGCCGTTGCCAAAGTGGAGACTTTTAAGCATTTCGTTTTCAAGAAAAACCTTAGATTAAGTCGGTTTTGCTCTATCTTGCCTAAAGTCGCTAACTTTCTGTGAAACCTCTCATCTTTGACCTCAGGTGTATGCACACCAGATCCAAAGGACGAGACAACCTCCTAAGTACAAGCGATCTTGACAAAGCAGAGCAAAACAAACGGTCACGCAGAGTTACTTCGCGAACCAGAAGACAAGAGGTTCCGGACATGGCAGCCCAACCCCAACAGGAAGGATTCCCACCCGGACCGGAACAACAAGGTGGTCAGCGAAACAATCCACCTCTGCGACCTCACCGTCAAATAGGTGCCGGCGATGCACCTAACACTCACGAAAACCGTCAAGGCATAGCCCCGCCGAATGTGCACAACAACTTCGAAATCAAACCGCACATTCTGCATCAAGTCCAACAAAAGATCTATCACGGTCTACCTGAGGAAGACCCGTTGGACCATCTTGACGAGTTTGACAGAGCATGTGATTTGATCACACAGAATGGGGTAAGCGAAGACGCAACCAAACTTCGTTTATTCCCATTCTCACTTGATGGCAAAGCTCGCCAATGGGAAAAGACGATACCTCGAGGGTCCATCACAAGCTGGGATCAGTGCAAGAAAGCCTTCTTGGCTAAGTTCTTCTCCTCAGTCAGAACTGCAAGCTTCAGAACCAACATCTCAAGCTTCGCACAAAAGCACGGCGAGAGTTTCACAGACGCCTGGGAACGCTTCAAAGGATATCAGTCGAAGTGCCCACACCACGGTTTCTCTCAAGAGTCACTCTTAAGCACTCTATACCGTGGTGTACTGCCTCGCTTCAGGCAGATGCTTGACACAGCAAGCCAAGGCAACTTCTTGGCCAGAGACGTGACGACGGTCTGTTCTTGGTGGAAAACATGGCAATGAGCAATGGTACATACGGCGAAGACATGACCGCACAAACAGAGGATCCGTCGAAGCAGAGGAAAAGCACAAGAAGGAACTGAAGGTGCTGAACGACAAGCTTGACAAACTGCTTATAGTCCAGCAAAAACAGTCGGTACACATGCTGGAGGAACGCGATGACGATCAAGAGGAGGAGTTTTACACTGAGGACGTCAACTACATTCATAGCCAGGGTTACTACAAGAACAACCCCAATATGTCCTATCGAAGCACGAATGTAGAGAACCCCCAGGACCAAGTCTATCCTCCTCAAGCCAACACGTCTGGTCAAGGAAAGATGTACCCAACTAAACCACGTGATGGGTACAACAAAAATTTCCAAGGAGGCTATCAGAAAAACACCTCTGTTCCACCTGGATTCGAGGCTAAGCAAGGTCCGCAAGAACCTGGAGTCAAGCAGATGCTTCAGCAACTACTTCAGGGACAGTCTACCGGAAACGTGGATCTCAACAAGCGACTATCTGAGATCAATGGGAGAATCGACTTCTCGCACCACGACCTTCAGACTAAGATTGAAGCTCTCACAAGTAGAATCCATCAGCTTGAACACAAAGGCGGAACAGCTTCCTCATCCAGAACGCAAGGTCAACTTCCGGGTAAAGCAGAGCAGAATCCCAAGGAATACGTACACGCAATTACATTGAGAAGTGGACGCGCTTTACCTCCAGAACAGGACCCGCACCAGTCAATGAGGACATTGAGGAACAAGAGGAGGAGATTTCAGTTGAAACTGAAGCCCAGCACCTGTACTGAAGAGGAACCACCAGTTCAAGAGAAAGAGAAAGCACCAGAGGAAGTGCAAAAGAAGAAGAAAGCCCCAGCTTTCGTTCCTCCTCCTTACAAACCGCAACTTCCCTTTCCTGCCCGATTCAAGAAACAACAGCTTGAGAAAGCAGAGCCTGTTTGATAAGCAAATAAAGGAGATTGATATTACAATGCCCTTCTTGGACGCATGTATGCTCATCCCTCCCTATCAGAAATTTCTCAAGGACGCTGTAACCGAGAGAAGAAAAGAGGTTCAGGGTATGGTCGTTCTTTCTCAGGAATGTAGCGCAATCATCACTAGGAAAGTGGTTGGGAAGAAGTTTGAGGATCCAGGCAGTTTCACTCCCTTGTTCTATTGGTCCTCTGGCATTCAACCGAAGCTTATGTGATCTTGGAGCAGGCGTGTCTGTGATGCCACTCACAGTAGCTAAGAGGCTTGGGTTCGAGAAGTATCAAAAGTGCGACGTTTCCTTGGTACTTGCGGATAGATCAGTACGCATCCCAGTGGGTATGCTCGAGGACTTGCCTGTGCGAGTAGGAAACGTGGAGATACCCACTGACTTTGTTATCCTTGAGATGGATGAAGAACCCAAGGATCCGCTGATCTTGGGAAGGCCCTTTTTGGCAACCGCTGGAGCTATCATCGATGTTCAGAGAGGGAAGATTGAGCTAAACTTTGGAGATGACTTCAAGCTCAGCTTCGACATCAAGAGGTCGATGAAGAAACCAACCATTGATGGACAGCTCTTCTGGGTAGAGACTTTGGGAGAAGTGTCACTTTATGGTCAGGGAAGGGATCGTCTTGGGACACAAGATATCAGAAAAGGGGATAGAGGTTGATCAAGCAAAGATTGAGGTGATGAGTCAGCTTGCTCCACCAAAGACAGTCAAGGACGTGAGAAGTTTCCTTGGGCACGCTGGTTTCTATCGGAGATTTATCAAAGGACTTCTCCAAAATAGCTCGTCCTTTGACACGCCTCTTGTGCAAGGAGACTGAGTTCCTGTTTGACGAGGAGTGCCTTAAGGCATTTGAGATGATCAAGACTGCCTTGGTCACGGCCCCGATTGTGCAAGCACCAAACTGGGACTACCCTTTCGAGATCATGTGTGACGCTAGTGACTACGCCGTGGGAGCTGTGCTTGGCCAGAGGATAGACAAGAAGCTCCACGTGATATATTACGCAAGCAGAACCATGGACGATGCCCAAGGACGATACGCAACAACTGAGAAAGAGCTCTTGGCAGTAGTCTTTGCGTTCGAGAAGTTCAGAAGTTATCTCGTGGGTTCAAAGGTGATAGTCTACACTGATCATGCGGCCTTGAGACATCTGTTGGCAAAGAAGGACACCAAGCCAAGGCTCCTGAGATGGATACTTCTTCTCCAGGAATTCGATCTCGAATTTTGGATAAGAAAGGGGTTGAGAACGGAGTTGCGGATCATCTCTCGAGGATGAGAGTAAATGAACCGGCACCTATCGACGATACTCTGCCTGAGGAACAGCTACTCTTGGTGGAAAGTCTGGGAAAAGCGTAGGTTTGGCAGTTCGGTTAGAGCAGTTGAAGGCAGTTGAGGAAAAGGAAGCGCCTTGGTATGCAGATTACGCCAACTACTTGGTGTGTGGAGAGGTCCAGCCGATCTATCTCCTTACCAGAAGAAGAAGTTCTTCAGGGACATCTCACACTTACTTTTGGGACGAACCATACCTGTTCAAGAGAGGATCGGATGGTCTGTTTAGGAGGTGCATAGCTCAGGAGGAAGTAGAGGGAATACTCGAGCATTGTCACGGATCGAGCTACGGAGGTCACTTTGCGACTTTCAAAACAGCTTCCAAGGTTCTTCAAGCCGGATTCTGGTGGCCAAGCCTTTTCAAAGACACTCACGACTTCATTGCAAGGTGTGATAGATGCCAACGAGAAGGGAGCATTTCCAAGCGCAATGAAATGCCACAAAACCCGATACTTGAGGTGGAAGTGTTTGATGTATGGGGCATCGACTTCATGGGCCCTTTCGAGCCACCTTCTCACGGGAATAGATACATCCTGTGGCGGTTGACTATGTGTCCAAGTGGGTCGAGGCAATCGCTTCCCCAACGAACGATGCCAAGGTTGTGCTCAAGCTGTCAAAAGCATCATCTTCCCGAGATATGGAGTGCCAAGGGTTGTAATAAGCGATGGAGGAAGCCACTTTATCAACAAAGTCTTCGAGAACTACTGAAGAAGTATGGAGTCAAGCATAAGGTAGCGACACCATACCATCCTCAGACAAGTGGTCAAGTGGAAGTGTCGAACAAGCAGATAAAGGGGATCCTCAGGACGATTGTGGGAGTCACCAAGAAGGACTGGGCAGTTAAGTTGGACGACGCTCTCTGGGCTTACAGGACCGCCTATAAGACGCCAATAGGAAGGACACCTTTCTCGCTCCTTTACGGGAAATCGTGTCACCTTCCGGTGGAGATTGAGTACAGAGCACTTTGGGCAATCAAACTGCTCAACTTCGACATCAGGTCTGCCCAAGAGAAGAGGGGTTTCGACTTACATGAGTTGGAAGAGATCAGGCTGGACGCATATGAGAGCTCCAAGATTTACAAAGAACGGACTAAGGCATTTCACGACAAGAAAATTGTGCCTAAGTCTTCAAGGTTGGAGAATATGCGCTGCTTTTCAACTCAAGAGCTAAGTTGTTCCCTGGGAAGCTCAAGTCCAAGTGGTCGGGCCCGTTTGAGATTAAGGACCCTTCCTTATGGAGCTGTCACTTTGCTCAACCAGAATGGCGAGGAGTTCACGGTGAATGGCCACAAGCTCAAACCGTATTTGGGCCAACGCATTCAAGGAGAAGGAGTCTCAACTCCTCTTCCGGACGCCCCCTTAGCCTAAAAGGTTATGAAAGTCAAGCTATGGGACTCAAAACAAGCTCACTTGGGAGGAAGTCCCATGGTTATCTTTGTATATATTTATTTTTGCTTAATCTTTCTTGTTTTAGCTTTTATAAGTGCTCAGGTGTATAGATGAAGGAAGTGTTCGGTCAGCCTGACGATAAGCTTGAGCAAACTGATCAAGAAGAACGATGCAACGATTTTTGAAAAGACTTAGGCCTTTCTCAAAAATCGTTGCCAGGTAAGCCCATCCCTGTTTATAAGGCCCAAATGAAAACAGTTTTTCATCGAGTTTTATTCGGAATTTTGGGGAAAAGAACGTGGGAGAGAGAAAGTAGTCAATTGGGGAAGTTGTGATTTGACAGCGGTTTTAATCCAAATCCTTCTCCGATTTTTCCGCAACCCATCTCTCTCTACTTTACCTTTTACAAAACCGAGACAAGCCAAACATCTCTCTTTCATACTTCTCCTTTTTCCCGATTTGTGAAAAGAAAAATCTCCATCTTTCTCTCTACTTTTTCGCTCTTTCTTCTTCACTTTCAAACCGTTTTCTGCGCTCAACCGGTAATTTCTCCGACTTTGGCTAGATTTGGTTTTGATTTTCGCTTAGTAGAGGTCAGATTTGTTTCGGGTTAAGGTTGAAAGAGAGATTTTGAGTTTGGATTTTTGAAAACTGTTTTGCATGTCTCTGTTTTTCCGAGATTTGAGTTCACCGCCGGTTTTAATCGACCTTTTTAGTTGAGATCTGTCTAAAGCTTTGATTTTTATCTCGAATCTCAACTTGCTTGATCTGTTTCTTCTCTAAGCCTTGCGAGTGACATTATTTGGCTAGAGAACTTACTCTGTTTGTGAGTTTGTTTTTCCACAGGAACAATGGTGTCCACAACAAGAGGAACTCTCTCGAGAGCCGCGGCGGAGAAGGCGGAAGGAAAGAAACCGGTGACGGAGGAAGGCTCAGGCAGTAGGAAAAGCGGATCCGGGTCATGAAGAGCAAGGACTACGCCGAGATCTTCGACCAGATGTCTTTCGTCGGGACGAGATACCCTGACCTGACGGCGATGGCAGAGCTGGGATCTCTCAGGATTGCCACTACCTCTTCGAGAGATGCAGCTTGCGAGGCTGATGATGAATCCTCAACCCACGTACCAGAAGGAAACCATCGAGTTCCTCTCCACTCTCCGAGTTAACTTCTACGAGCCTGACGAATCGTCCCCGAGGGCATGGAAGTGGAAGGTTCTCCTTCCGAATCAACAAGAGGAAGTACCGGATGAGTTTCAGGAGCTTGGAGGATGTGTTTCACTTTGAACACAAGATGGGCGAGAAACAGAGCCGGGAACGCCACAAGGAGAGCTTCAAGCCTTCTGGGCAATGATCGGAGTTGGCGAGTACATGCTAGCACTGCCAAGAGCACACACATCAGGAACCCCGTGCTCAGATACGTCCACAAGGCCCTCGCTCACACCATCTATGCGAGGCGCGACGTGACTGGTGTCACAGAGAAGGAGCTCTTCTTCTTGAACGAAGGGATGAAGAGGGTGATTCGCACATTGCCGGATGGACTGAGATGGTCGGGGACAGAATCAGGGAACAGCGTGGCGACGTATCTTCTCAAGAGCTTCCTCAGCTACAGAGTATGCTCTCTCTCTCAACAAGGTGCACAAGGCAAGCAGTGGTCAGCTGAGCTGTGGAGGACTCATAACGCCGATCCTCATGAACTGGGAATCACGCTTGAGAAGCCGGTTGATCCTCAGGCGATAAACATCCAGTATCTCCGCAAGAGCACCTACCTTCGCGGCCTCCCATCAGCGGACGCCACAACTATCAGTTCGCCTATAGGCAGTTTGAGTACGGGCTGGCGAGTTTCTTCCTGCCAAACCCACCCTTGACCTACATCACGGTCATGGAGAACATCGACTTTGAGCCTCCTATCGAGACCATTCTCGAGCAAGGCCAAGAGGAGGAAGACTACGCTCACCCTGGAGCAGCTGGCGAAGGTGAGAGCTCAGGCGACGTGGAGAACCTCATGGACTACAAAACCGGAGAGTTCCACTTCAAGAACCACGAGATCAAAGGGAGGAAGTCAGCGGCTAACACCGCACTTGAGAGCATCAACACGCTAAAGCCTGGAACCAGTTCCAGGACAAAGCGATCAAGTCCCTCCTCAAGACCGTGAAGAAGATGGGGAAGCGCATCAAGCAGCCACGACTCCGACAACACCCCTCCGATACACCTCGGTTCCTATCATGACGACGATGTAGTCGAGGACTCCGAAGAAGGTGATGAAGGCTCCTCCAAATTCCAAACGGCAGAAACCTCAACCAGGAAGAGGAAGGCCTCGAAGTCACCTCAAGCGAGCACCAAAGGGTGATTCCACATCATCCTCCTCCTCAGATTCTTTCTGAGAGGTATGAACCCCAACCATGTAAATAGCATGCATTTTTCTTTTTATTTTCACTTATCTTTTGCTTTGATTCTCTCTTCCGCCTTCTTATCACACAAGGGACCGTGTGAACTAAGTGTGGGGGAGAGGGTCAATGGTATTTGACGAAGTGCTTTATGTTCTTATTTTATATTTTGCATAACCTTTGAGTCTCATGCATTTACATCTTTAGAAAATCATGTAAAATTTTCATTTTTGCATTGCTAAAAAAAAAAAACAAAAACAGAGCATGTAGTTAAGATCATTTCATTTGCATCTGAGCAATGTTTGTTGAGCTGATTGATTGAGTTGCGGAATTGCTTCAGTGCCCTAGTTCTAAGTTGTTTGGCGCTTTTGATAGTTCTTGAAGTTAAGGTAGAACCGCATCATCAAAAAGCATCATGACTGTCTTAGTAAAACCGAATGCATTGCTGTGATTTGAATCTGCTCCTTGTCTAAGTGAAACCTGAACCTGAACTTCAATTATCATGCTCATGCTTGTTAAGTTCAACTCGTGGATTATACATACTTGAATCATCTTTGCATTATTGTTCATCCTTCTTTGTTGATTCAAGTAGAACTCCCTGCCCTTAACCAACCCTTCCTTTCAAACCAAATGTTGTTCTTGTGTGTTGTGAGGCCTTTTGAAAAAGCTTGGCATAAAGTGTTAGGTCTTGAGCCGACAAGGATAGGTGATCATGTAGATTCTGGTCCACGCTTTTTGGGCCAGACTAGGTTAGGACTGGGTTTGGGAATGTCTTGGGTTGGGATTCAAAAAGAAAAGAAAGAAAGAGCTTGTGAGCAAAAAGAAAAGAAGCGTTTCAGCTAAGGTAGATTAAGAGCTTGGTCTGTGAGTTTAAGAAAGCCCCCATCAGAAAAAAAAAAAAAAAAAAAAAGAGAAAAAGAGTTTCAAAAGGAAAAGATGGGTTAGGGCAAGAGTTTAGACCAAGTCTCTCGGTTTGTCTTTCAAAAAGCCTTAGAAAATTCGCTAAAGTTTCAAAAAGCTCTAAGAAAAGGAAAAGAAAAACCCAAAGGGAAAGGGTAGAAATAGGAAGTTTCGGGTTTGAGAGTCACCAAAAGGTACTTGGGGTTTCGGGTAGATGATCATTTGTCCTTGTACCTCCCAATTGGTTCTCGCCTTTAGCATTATGCCGAAGCTGTTTCACTTCTTCTTGAGAGAACCCTTCCTTTGTCATTTGACATGAGCTTGCATTGTGATTTGCTCTCTCTCTTTCTATTGGCCAAACGAGTTAACTTGACTTGCATGTGTTTTGATTCACTGTTTTAGCTTTAATGAATGTCAAAAGGAGTAGAGGATTTGAATGCATGTTTAGGTTGAGCTAGTTGGTCATTGATTGTGATTATGAAGGTGCGGCTAAGATTTTTGAAGTAGAGAACATCTTTTGCGCTTTAGACCTTGGAACTAGGTTGTTGATTCAATTTCTCTTCTCGGCTTTCACTTGACTCTATTGCTCAGAGAACACTCTTATGCTTGGTTGATGTTTGCTTGAGGGCAAGCAAAGACTAAGTGTGGGGGTGTTGATGTACTCAACATTTGCATACATTTAGCCTCTCATACTGCATAGTTCTGTGTATAATTGAGTCCCATTTCATAACATTTAGTGTAGCTTTAGTCTACTTAGGATCATTTAGCCTTTAGGATAGCATTTTGCATTTCCATTGCATTTGGGGTGCATTTATCAGGTATTCGGAGCTTATGGCGAGGAGCAGACCGGAGGTGATGATCGGAGATGGACCAGAAGGAGATCGGAGTAATCGGATGGCAAAACAAGCAAGACGGAACAGAGCCTTGAGCAAAAGGAAACAGAGTGCTTGAGGAAGTTGCTCAAGCTACGCGCAGCTGTGAAGTCAAAGCAAAAATGTTGACCAAGGATACACTTTTCCCTTCTCTATATAAACCTTTAAGACCTAATTTTTAGGCAATCTTTATCTTGTAACCAGTTTCTCTCCAAGAAAAACAGTTTGTTCTTGGAGATCTTTTGTAAGCTTTTACTTTGAATCTTTTAAGTTTAAGAAGTACTTAGTTTGCTAATCTTGTCTTAATGATGATTTCTAGCTTTCTTTACCTCTTTGCTTTCGGTTCGAGTATGAGTAGCGAGTAGTTCTTTAGAGGTTTCGAGGGTGAGATTAGGAAAGGTCAGAGCTTTAGCTTCCTGTTAACCTCTTCCTTAATCTCCCTTGACCAGCTTTTCTTTAGCTAGAGCTTTATATCTCGGCTTCTTCTTGATCACTTGAAGTCGCGAATCTAGGCTAGTACACCTAGAAGGTGTTTGCGTTAATGCCTAAGAGAGCTAGCGATAGAGAGAAACATTCCCAACCTAAGAGATTGGTTGTTGGGATGTATCTTGTGCACTTTTAGACTAGATCTTGTGAAAGCTTGTAACTTTGAGTCCACTAGCGAGAGCTAGCTTTGGATTCTCAGCTTGCAAAGCGATCTGACCACGAGAGTGGCGGATTTACCCAAAGTCTAAGCACAAAGCTTGAGTCTTGGTGTGTTGAGAAAGGAAGGTTGAGCTCGTTTGATCCCAACTAATCTCACCCAAGACGCCTCCTTTATCTTTTATTGTCAAAGTTTAAATCTTTATTTCATCTTGTTAGCTTAAAGCATAGATCTTTACAAAACAAAACCCAATCTTTTATCAAAACTTGATCTTTGCCTTTTCTTTATTTCGATAGTTTGAATCTCCACTTGGATTGACATCTCAAGTACTACAATGACATGAGTGGTATGGATTGAGAGTAGTTGATACAAAAATCCTACTTATCAGCGAGTAGCTGCTCAAGGAGAGGCATGAGGTTTCCTGCATGTGCCCTATCTCCTCTGATCTTCTTCCCATCCCTTGTGCGTGAGATGATAGGGCTTGATTCCCATGTCAAGGAGCTTCACTTCTCCTCATTGATTGTCCAGTGGCTTTCCTTGCAAAGAAGGTGTTGGCAAGAGCCTTGTGGACATATCTCAAGCACAGGGCTCCTGATCTGAGCAGCCTTGACCTTGAGGAAGAGTACCCCTCAGCGATTGTAGCCCAACTCTTTGGAGTTCATCTTCCTTGATGTTCCATAGGTTCCTCTCCATAGTGAACCCAAACAGATCTCCAAGCTGCCTAAAGGTCACCATCTTCTTCTCTCCCTTGCCAAGAACGTGATCCATCCCCAGCCTTGGTCCAACTCAGCTCGATCGAGCTCACTATACTGTGACCTCATTGACGCCAAAAACTCACAAGTGAGCTCCTTGTAGACCCATGCGGTAAGAGAAGAACTTGGCCAATTGCATGTTCTTGAGCACCAACTCCACATCTCAAAGATCCAAGGTCCTCATGTGTCATCATGTGGGTACTTGGTCTCCACAAAGTCCATGGAGAAGAGAGCATTGTAGTGCTCTTGGTACATGGGGAGCTCATCCTCTTCCTCTGATTCAGCCTCCTCCATTGGCACATTCTCATTGCTCTCATGCTCACTTCATCAACTCTTGATTCACCTCTTCTCCTTCCTCTTCACTCTCAGTCTCATCACTTCCTTCTTCACTTGGAGAGCCATTACCCTCCTCTTGAACAAGGTTCACTCCAATCTCAAACTCCCCTTGCTCACTCTCACTACTAATGGGTCATTCCTCTTCTTGGTTCTCCTTTCCTCCCTCAACCTCTCACTTCAGACTGCTCCTCAGAGACATGCTCTCTGCATCAGACTCTTCCATCTGCTGGTTCCTCTCTTCTCGATCTCACATACTCCAAACCTTCATCTTGGACATCCTTCTCTCATCTTCTTGCTTTCTCTCCCTTTGCTTTCTAAGCTGCTTGGCTTCCCTCACCTCTCAACATCTTGAACTTGTTGCTTCTTGAAAGTTGGGTTCCTGAAATGCATCAAAAACTCAAAGAATTAGAGTTGTAATGATCGGTTTGGTCAACTCGACACTCAGCTCGATCGAGTCAAAAAACTCGAGTGACAAACTCGATCGAGCTAGGTGAAAACAGAGTATAACCGAACCTAATTCAAGTATTAAGAGCTGGAAAGGATGCTAATCAATCAAATTGAACCAAGAACAACAAGTAAATGGAACAATGAGCAATTCTAGTGAAACAAGCAACCTAACCATTACCAAACTCAAATTCAATCAAGCACATGCAACAAGTTCTAATGAAAACAGAGGTGAGGTGAGGCAAATTCACAAGATATACAGGAGAGATATGAAAGCAATTACTCAAGAACAAGTCCCACAAGGGACATGCAATCAAAATCAAAGAGGAAACAAGCAATATGAGAATCGAGATGGAGGAATCAAGGGTTTAAGGTTCATACCTTGCTTGGATGATGATTGAAGAACAGTAAACTAGAACTAAAGCAAAACAAGATGATGAACAAGAAATCGCAAAAAAAGAGAGAGAAAGAGAGGAAATCGATTTTTCTTGTGGTGAAGAGAGAGAGATGAGTTTCAGAAATTTAAGATGGGAGAGTGGAGAAGGTGGATTCGATCGAGTTATGGGGAAGAGGGAGTGTTTGAGATGTGTGGTTGAGATTAAAAGATGAAATAAAGAGGGGAACAAGAAGCTAGGGATTTCTGATCAATTAGGGTAGTGGGGGACCAAAATTAGCTTGTGGGACCCACTCCCTTGACCAAGAAAACGGTTATGAATTTGAAATTCAAAAACTTACCTCGGTCGAGTTGTGGAACTCGATCGAGTTGCCCTGGTTTCTAGCTCGATCGAGCTATCGGTCGAGCTGGCTCCTTTGACACCTAAACTTAACTTATTGAAAGGTTAAAACACAAAATAGATAGAAATTGCATAAATAGAATATGTACAAGGATAAACATGGGACTTCCTCCCAAGTGAGCTTGTTTAAGGTCCCATAGCTTGACCTTTACCTTAGGCATTGGTTGAGCTAGTCCCACCATCAAGGGTGATAGTGAGGACTTGAGACAGAAGCTCCTTTAGCTTGGTTGGGTCCCTGGATGTTCTGAAGTCACCAAGGCCTTGGCTCTAGAGAATGGCCTTGATCTCCCCTTGTACCTTATCTTGTACTCAATCTTCCCATTTTCAAACTTGGTGGGGAACAAAGTCATTGTGAGCTGAGATGGCTTGACTGAAGGGGCCTGAGCTGGTGGATCCTTTCTTTTATCACCTGGTCTTGCCTTAGAGGCTACATCCTCCCCTTCTTTTAGAGCCCTTCCTAGTGGCTCATCAAACAAAGCTTGAAGGCTCTCTTCATCAAGCACACAAGGGGCTTGAACAAGTCTATCAGCTCTGGTCTATCAGAACGTGGTTTCTCAACTCTAGCCCTCTCAAGACGTGGCTTCTCAATCCTTGGTCCTCTCTCAACCTTATCCTTCCCAACTCTTGGTTCTTTGTCAACCCTTTCCTTCACAACCTTTGTAGCTCCATGACTCTTAGAACTGAGAGTGGTACTGTCAATTGTGGCACAAAAGTCTGAACCTCTAGGCTGCAAGCGATATGACACCAAACTATTCACCTTGTGAAGGATCACTTCTTGCTTGTGAAAGTCTATTGAAGCGCCAACTGTACTAAGGAATGGGGTTCCCAATAACAGAGGTAGACCCTTCTAGAAGCCTTGTAAATTGCAATTTCCCCGGCAACGGCGCCAAATTGATGATAGGATTTGTGTGTGGGTGTGAAATGATATGAAATGAGATGTGGTGGAATGCAACAGTGGTATATGATGAGGTGGTAAGATGCAAACACAAACACAGTCAACAATTCCCTTTAACCATGATAGTTGTATAGCATAAAGGGTATCAATCCAAAATGGGAGAAGTTGTCACTCTATGAGAATATGAAATCACAAGAAAGTCAAGCACTAACAACCTAAATGAACAGAAATGAAATGCAGTAAGTAAATAAAGCAGTAGAGCAACAGCTCGACCAAGGACTCGAGTCGAGTTGGAACAGAGTACCGAGCTCGATCGAGTTTAGGGTCGAGTTGAAGTAAAAAGCAATAAAGGCAGCGACTTTAACAAGCTAGAACGAAAATTAGGGTCTAAGACAGGGTTTTGCAATCAGAGGAAGGCTATACTTAATCATCTTGCTCTCAAAACTTGTATCAAGGTATCTCTTGATATTGAGCTTCTCAATGCCTAGCTAACCCTTTCCCAAGGTGAAAGCTATCAACCAAGGACTGATCTCAGAAACAGGGGGTTAGCCAGTGAGAATCAAGCCTTGGAGGCCATAGGATCATTGCTCAAACTAATCCATCCAACCCCTATGAACTCCATTTCTAGAGCAAGAGTTATTGGAGCTCTTAGTGGACCTTTTCCAGCGATTTCCATCACTTCCATGTGGAGAATCGCCTATGGACATACAAGCCAGGGGTAGTGGTCATGTAGCCTTAAGATTTGTCCAAAAGAGAGAGATTTCTAGATTAAGAACATAAGCAAGAAGGATTAAGCATAAAATCCCTAATCTATCCCATCTCAAACCCTAATGGGTAAACTACTCACTACACATGAATGTAAACACAAGCAAATGCAATAAAAGAGACATCATAAGAAAGAGGAGATGAAATAAACAACTTTTATTGAAATAAGCAAGTGCAAATACAAAAGAGATTATCCAGGATCTAGGATTCAAGAAGCAAGAGCTTCAAGAACACAAAGATGGGATTAGAGCTCTAAAAAGTAAAAGACAATAAATTAAAAGAAACTAAAACAAAATAATCTAAAGCTTGGTGGTTTTTTCGTGGCTTTTAGCCTTTAAATACAAGAGGATTTAGGTTTAGGGTCAAAGGAAAGTCAAGGGGGAAGCAACATTTTTCGGGTTTGACTGTTGACTTCTCAGCTCGATCGAGTTGAAGCTTGGCCGGTCGAGTTGAGGAACTCGACCGGTTGGTCGAGTAGATGGTCGAGCTGGTCTTCAAGATGGCTTCCTCCTTCTTCCTTTGCGTATCCAGTTGAGCTGCGTCCATGTGCCAAGTCCTCCATGCTCCTCACGTCCCATATGCTCCAGAATGCTCCAAAAGACCTATTTCAAAGGACCAAACATGCATATGTATGCAAATGCAACCTAAAACTACTATGAATGCATAAGAAGAGAAAAGGAACAAGATATGATGCTAATGGATGCTAAAACTATGCAAAAGATGCATAAAAGATGTACTAAAACTATGCAAAATGCAAGTACATCAGCTCACAAGGAGTTGAGTAGGAAATATCAATTCCTATTCAAACATTCCATGGCTGGTGCTTCCAAGATGCTCCTGCCCAACCCTGAGCTCACCACAGTTAGGGGTGAGAACATTGACTTCAGACCCCCTGTGTCACACTTAGTTGGGCATGAGGATGATTTGCGAGAAGAGGAGCCTGAGCTCGATCGAGCTGAGGATCGAGCTGAGGACCAAGCCAAGTGATGAGAAGTTTGGGAGCCTGAGTGCTATTACTTTTGAGGAGTATGAGGCTCCAAGGATGAACCCCTCTGTTGTGGCTGCCACAAGAGGATTGGACTTCTCCAAAAGTTCAACAAATGGCAAGGGAAAGCCATGAGAAAATGCAAAAGTCCATGGACAAGATGGTGAGCAAGATCAAGTTTGGAGAAGAAGGTTCTGGTTCTTCAAGCAAGAAGAAGAACCCAATGGCTCCCACTTTCCCTAGGAGTAGATCACTCCTCACCACAAGGAGGCTCCCTGCCCAAGAGCCTCACAGAGCCTCTTCTTTCGAGCCAAGGAAGAAGGAGAACACACAGAGAAGGAGGAAGAGTTCCAAGGCCAGACGCTCCAACTCGACCACCGGACTCGATCGAGTCCAAACAGAGGAAACTCAACTCTCGAGCTGATGGTCGAGTTGACCTGGAGGAGCCCCAGTTCGAGAACCCTGGATTTGAGTACGATCAACACCTACCAGGACTTCCCCAGAGCAGATGGAACCCATACAACAGTTCGAGCAGCCAGCTCCACCAAGGCCAAGGAGCCACACACACTTCGAGGATGAAGAAGAGGAGCCGCAAGCTCGATCGAGTGAGCAGAGTGCGATGGAGTGCTCCTGATGGCCGTCTCCCTCTCCAGACCACGACCTTGCTCCCAGTTCTTTGGGGGGCACTGAGGTATCCAAACACCAACCCTTGTATATACCATTTCATATTTTCTTGCATTTGTTCTTTTTTTTCTTGGTTTTGCCCTCTTGAATCTTTCACTAATTTTTCTCACACAAGGGACTGTGTGATTTAAGTTTGGGGGAGGGTTCAAGAGATGATTTAACCTTGTTTTCTTTGTTCTTAGTTTTTCATTCTTTTGCATAGAAAAACCAAAAAAATCATAAAATTTTCAAAAAATCCAAAAATATTTTCATCTTTTTGCATTCATATTTGTTAGACTTGTTTAGGATTGCATTTTTCACTTGCATTGTTGATTTGACTTTGAAAACTTGTTCATCTTTTGCGATTTCTTGAGTGCCCTGTTTTTAGATTCTTTTGTGCATTAGGGTGAGATTGATTGAGCAGCAAGAACCATGTTTATCTTGATCATATCACTGCATGCACATCTCATTCAACCATTGCTGTGATTTGATGCATTTCCCTATCTATTTGAACCATAACTTGATCTTTAATTACCAATGCTTGCATTTGATTTCAACTCATGGCTACCACATACATATCTGGACATTCTTTACCTATTTTCATATCCCTCTTGCTTGTCCAGATAGCTGATCTCCATCTTTGAGACAGTTACCACACCTTAAACCTAAGCCTTTTCATTTCAAACCCCATTATTATCTCTTGTGCGAATTGTGAGAACCTTTCTTGGCTTTGCTTAGCATAAGGTGTTGTGTTTAAACCGGCAGGGGCAGTAGTTCTAGTTGTCTAGTTCTCTTGGGATTGTTTTCAGGCTAAGTTTGGGGGTGCCAACTCGAGCTCGATCGAGTTGGGTGTCAAAAACCAGAAAAGTGGTAAAAGTTGGGAAAAACCCAAAGGAAAAAGAGTTTAGTTAAGTCCAGGGAGTTGGCAGTGTTTAAAAAGGGTCTAGTAAAGGTTTGGGAAGTTAAAAAAGGAAAGTAAAAAGGGTTCTAAGTAGAATGAAAAGAAGGCAAAGCCTCAAGTGTCAAAAAGAAAGAAAAGTTCCCTAAGTGTTTAGAAAATCCCAAACCGCTAGATGTTACCTCAAGAAGCCTCTCCCTAGGTTCTTAAAAGAAAAGTGAGCAAAGCTCCTCAGTTTCAAAGGCGAAATGCCAAAAAGGGTAGTTAGGATTTTGTTCTAAAAAGCTCTAAGTGTTGAACTCGATCGAGTTAGGATTAGGCGGCTCGAGCTGCTGTTCTTGCATCATCTTTGGTTCTAACACTTAGCCTTCTGCCAAAGCAAAGCCACTTTCTTGAGAGATCCCTGTTACTAAACCACCATACAAAAGAGACCCTCTTTGTCTCTTAACCCATAAACCCTTGAAACCAAATGAGTTGATTGATCTTGCATGTTTTTGGTTCACTGTTTTTGCTTAATGAATGTTAAAGGGATTTGCTGATTTGAATGCATTGTTTGAGTGACTGTGAAGTGGGATTGATGTTGATAAGCATGGTTAAATCTTAATGAATATCTCTCACCTTGTTGCATTCTAGAATCTCTAAGTTGGACATTTAGCAAATCGCTTTTGAGGACATGTTTTTAAGTGTTGAATCAACTTGTTTTCAAACCTCATCTCTTTCTTGTTCTATTTGTTTGCTTGAGGGCAAGCAAAGGTCAAGTTTGGGGGTGTTGATGTACTTGCATTTTGCATAGTTTTAGTACATCTTTTATGCATCTTTTGCATAGTTTTAGCATCCATTAGCATCATATCTTGTTCCTTTTCTCTTCTTATGCATTCATAGTAGTTTTAGGTTGCATTTGCATACATATGCATGTTTGGTCCTTTGAAATAGGTCTTTTGGAGCATTTGGAGCATATGGGACGTGAGGAGCAAGGAAGGACTTGGTGCATGGACGCAGCTCAACTGGATACGCAAAGGAAGAAGGAAGAAGCCATCTTGAAGTCAGCTCGACCGGCCAAGCTTCAACTCGATCGAGCTGAGAGTCAACAGTCAAACCCGAAAAATGTTGCTTCCCCCTTGACTTCCCTTTGACCCTAAACCTAATCCTCTTGTATTTAAAGGCTCTAAGCCACGAAAAAACCACAAGCTTTAGATTATTTTTGTTTTAGCTTTTCTTTAATTTTGTTTTACTTTTTGCAACTCTAATCCTCTCTTTGTGTTCTTGAAGCTCTTGCTTCTTGAATCCTTAGATCTGGATTATCTTCTTTGTATTTGCACTTGCTTATTTCAATAAAAGTTGTTTATTTCATCTCCTCTTTCTTAATGTCTTTCATTGCATTTGCTTGTGTTTACATTCATGTGTAGTGAGTAGTTACCCATTAGGGTTTGAGATGGGATAGATTAGAGGATTTATGCTTAATCCTTTTGCTTATGTTCTTAATCTAGAAATCTCTCTCTTTTGGACAAAAAGGCTACATGACCACTACCCCTGGCTTGTATGTCATAGGCGATTTTCTCATGGAAGTGTTGGAAATCGCTTGAAAAGGTCCACTAAGAGCTCCAATAAACCTTGCTCTCGAAATGGAGTTCATAGGTGTTGGATGGATTAGTTTGAGCAATGATCCTACTGCCTCCAAGGCTTGATTCTCACTGGCTAACCCCCTGTTTCTGAGATCATTCCTTGGATGATAGCTTTCACCTTGGGAAAGGGTTAGCTAGGCATTGAGAAGCTCAATATCAAGAGATACCTTGATACAAGTTGTTTAAGAGCAAGATTGATTAAGTATAGTCTTCCCTAGTTGTAAGACCCTGTCTTAGACCCTAATATTCGCATTAGCTTGTTAAAGTTCCTTTATGCTTTATCTTTTACGCTAACTCGACCCTCAACTCGATCGAGCTTGGTTACTCTGTTCCCACTCGATCGAGTCCTTGGTCGAGCTGCTTGCTTTACTGCTTTCTTTTACTTTATGCACTGCATTTCATTTCTTAGGTTGTTAGATTCATCCCTTTATTTCTGCTTGACTTTCTTGTGTTTGCATATCTCAAGAGAACAAGTTCACCCATTTTGGATTGATAACCCTTATACTACATCGACTATGATGGTTAAGGGAATTGATTGATTGTGATTGTGTTTGCACCATACCATCTCATCTTCATTACCACTGTTGCATTCCACCTCATTTCATATCATTGCATCATTTCATATATCAGCTGAGTGTGAGGAGAGCTTTAGTCAGCTCAAGGAGATGTTGACTACTACACCAGTGTTGGCGTTACCCGAGCCAGGGAAGCCTTACATGGTGTATACAGATGCTTCAGGCATTGGTCTTGGTTGTGTGCTGATGCAGGAGGGCAGAGTGATAGCATATGCTTCGAGACAGTGGCAGGGCAGTGAGCGTAACCGTCCTACACATGACTTAGAGTTGGGAGCAGTGATCTTCGCGTGAAGATTTGGAGGTCTTACTTGCTGGGTGAGACAGTACAGGTCTTCACGGATCACAAGAGTTTGCAGCATATCTTCACTCAGCCGATGATGAACGCGAGACAGACGCGCTGGGTTGAGTTCTTGGCGGACTATCAGGTGAGCATTAACTACCATCCGGGCAAGGCTAACCTAGTGGCGGACGCGTTGAGTAGACGGAGGTATGATTCCGCAGTTGAGCGAGATGTGGAGTCTCTAGTTGGGCGAGATCAGTACCTTGCGTTTGTGTGCCATTTCGCAGGAGCCTTTGGGTTTAGAGGCAGTGGATCAGGCGGATCTACTTAGCAGGATCAGAGTTGCTCAGCAGAGTGATCAGAGTTTGCTAGATGCGACGAGAGTGACTGGTTCTGAGTATGAGGTCTCTGCGAATGGGACTATCTTGGTTCGTGGGCGAGTTTGTGTGCCTAAGGATGTGGAGTTGAGACATCAGATTTTGGGAGAGGCTCACGCGAGCAAGTTTTCCATTCATCCGGGAGCGACCAAGATGTACCATGACCTCAAGAGGTACTATCATTGGGTCGGGATGAAGAGGGATGTAGCAGACTGGGTTGCGAAGTGCAACACTTGTGCCTTGGTGAAGGCAGAGCATCAGGTTCCGGGTGGTCTTTTGCAGAGTTTACCCATTCCAGAGTGGAAGTGGGACAGGATTACGATGGATTTCGTGGTTGGACTACCTGTTTCGAGGACTTTCGATGCTATTGGGTGATTGTGGATCGGTTGACGAAGTCCGCACATTTCTTGGCCATCAAGAAGACAGATGGAGCTGCTGTTTTGGCTAGGAAGTTTGTGCGAGAGATTGTGAGGCTGCATGGAGTGCCAGCTAGTATTGTGTCAGACCGTGATCCCAGATTCACTTCAGAGTTTTGGAGAGCTTTTCAGGCAGAGATGGGCACTAAGGTGCATTTGAGTACAGCTTATCATCCGCAGACAGATGGTCAGTCAGAGAGGACTATTCAGACTTTGGAGGATTTGCTGAGGATGTGTGTGTTGGATTGGGGTGGCCATTGGGCAGATCACCTGAGCTTAGTTGAGTTTGCATACAACAACAGCTTTCAGGCGAGTATTGGCATGGCTCCATTTGAGGCTTTGTATGGGAGGCCATGTAGGACACCCCTATGCTGGACCCAAGTGGGGGAGCGCAGCATGTATGGAGCTACTTATGTTCAGGAGACTACAGAGAAGGTCCGTGTTGTGAGGCTGAACATGAAGGAGGCTCAGGACAGGCAGAAGAGTTATGCAGATAGACGCAGACGAGAGCTTGAGTTTCAGGTGGGAGATAGAGTTTATCTCAAGATGGCTATGTTGAGGGGTCCTAACAGATCCATAGCAGAGAACAAGCTGAGTCCGCGTTTTATGGGCCGTTTCCAGTAGTGGAGCGAGTTGGGCCATTGGCTTACAGGCTGGAGTTGCCTGAGATTATGAAGCCTTTCACAAGGTTTTTCATGTGTCGATGCTGAGGAAGTGTCTTCACCCTACAGAGGAGTTAGTGGCTAGGATTCCAGAGGATCTTCAGCCAGATTTGACAGTGCCGGCAGTGCCTGTGAGGATTTTAGAGAGGAGGGAAAAGGTTCTGAGGAACAAGAGGATTCCCTTACTGAGGATTTTGTGGGATTGCAGTGGTTCTACAGAGGAGACTTGGGAGCCAGAGGCAAAGATGAAGTTGAAGTTCAGGAAGTGGTTCGACAAGCAGGTCGAGGAGTGAGCTTATTTCATTTTGTAGCCTCAGTTGTTTTGTTTTGGCTTTGGTGTTATTGTATTTTCGTTTTGGTTGTAACGATATACATTTTGGAGTTTTAATGAGATGCAGTTTTTCCTCATTTTGCCTTGTGTTGTAAGTGGTATTTCGGATGTTACAAGTGTTTGACCATTGGTCGTGAGACAGTTCTAATTCTATTGTTATAGACGTCTTGGAATTTTTACTCTAAGGATTGCGATCCTGAATAACTCATTACGGTTTTGGAGACAGTGGTTCTCTGGCAGACTCATCTGAGTGTAGTGGCCTCAGTATGAGTGACTTAGCTGAGTGTAGTGGCCTCAGTATAAGTCGTGGCTGACTTATTTGGGTGTAGTGGCCCAGTATAAGCAGCGGTTGGCAAGCCCCTGGGTGTAGTGGCCCCAGTTTGGGTAGGTGCAGACTTGTCTGGGTGTAGTGGCCCCAGTACAAGTGGTTTGAGGTGATGAGTTAAGAGTAAAGATGTCTAGAGACGGGCTTAACATAAGATTAGACGAGTCTCGGGGATCAGGTGAGGATCTCCAGTGTTGTGGCCTTGCGAGGTCGGGTTTTGTGGTCTTTGTGACGTTTTTGTTGGGATTCGAGGTCGAATCCAGTTTAGTGGGGGAGAGTTGTAACATCCGTAGACCAAAAATTGAGATTTTTCTTTGGTGTCGGTCGACACCAAGGTTAAAATTAACTGGTTCAATTTAAGTTCGGTTTGGGCCGGTTTAGGGGAAAAGCCCTAGACGCGTTTAAAGAGCAGCCGTCGAGTTCTTCCTCCTTTTTGTCGTTTTCTGCCATGGAGAAGAGAAAGGGGGATTTTTGGAGAGATTTGTGGAGTTCTTCGTCGAATCTGAGGCTCTGTTGCTATTCTTCGTTGTGTTCATCTCTTTCTCTGTTTCAATCCATTGAGGTGAGTGCATGACTGTGGGTCGCTAAATTGCTAGATCGGATTGTTAGGTTGATGTTCTTGAGGTTTCATGTGATTTATGTAGTTTTGTGATATTTGGTTGTTTGAATGTTAATTTGTGTTTCTGTGTTTTGGTGTTAATTCTCAGAATTCGCTGTCTACCTGTCGACACAATTGATCTGTGTCGGTGACACTGACCGGTTCTATTGGAAATTGATTTGGTTTAAATTAAGTGTTTTTTGGTTAATTGAATTATTGTAATGGGTTTAATCTGGTTATTGGTATTTTCGGAATTAATTAATTAACGAGTATTTAATTAATTAAATGGTTAAAATAATTATTTTATTATTTTAAAATATGAAAATTATTATTTAATTATGAGAATTATTTAATAATTGAGAAATGAGTTTTAATTATTAAAATTATTTAATAATTGAAAATGGTATTTAATAATTATTGAGTTTATAATAATTATTAAATATCTAGTAAATTGCGTAATTGGCCGTAGGCAGAGTGATTGCCTCACTAAGTATTTATTAAATACTTATGCAACTCCATTCCAATGTGTTGCAGGTAAAAGATTTGTGTGATCGCGGAATCAAGGCTGAAGAGGGGGATGATAGGATGTTTATGTTTTATTATTTTGCATTATTTTGCTAGACTTGTTTAATTATTATTTGCTTCCGCTGAACTGATTTATTTGTTATTGATATTTATTTTTAATTTATTTTAAAGACCTTTCGCTAGAATTGATTAGTATTTAATTATTTAAAAAAATGTGTTGATTGTTTCAATTTTGTTAGTTTTCTATTCATTTATTTCTTTTTCAATTTTATATTTGCCTTAGACCATTACAAATTTTTCTTTTCGTTATTAGTTAGTTTTTTTACAATGTTTTTGTTAGTTTTTATTTCTATTATTACATTTTTTCAATTTACTTCCTTTAATACATGTCATCACCTGATCAAATACTAGACACATTTAGCGAAAATAACTATGATTTTAATCCAGCTGATCTAGAGTTAAATATTCTTCATTGATATCTTGAACTTTCAAAGAAATGATTTTTTTCTTACTAGAAGTTAAAGAAAAAAAAGATAGATATACACAATTAAATCATGAATGTTATAGATTATTATATATCAGTTTTTTTCTCTTTTTTTCCTTAATGAATGTAACTATTGTTATATGGTTAATTTGGTCAGTAAAATTATTGGGGCATAAAATTAAGGAAATGACACTGCTATTTTAGAAATACAGGAAAAGATTTTTCTCAATTTTAGCCCTCACAGCAGTGGGAAAATTCCCTCCCTTCCTCGACGACCTAATTTCCATGGGGGAAATTTCCCTCCAATTTTTCACAGTTGACGTCGACTGTAAATGTTTGTCACAATTTTAACCACTCATCTTCATGTCCAATCACTAACATAGCAATTTAGTGTTATTTAATTTAAACTTGAGAGTTCCCCTTAATTAAAATCTGTGGTTAGTACACATTCAAGCCTTCCATAAATTGGAGATATACCATACCCTAACAGGACATACTGTATTTCACTACTCAGAGAAATGAGCGAGTCTTCAGAAAATGCAGTAACTACAAGAGTTCTACCAGAGGAGGTATTAACTACTCTCTGTCTTCCGTGTGTCTATTTACAGTGAAATAAGTTTCTGTTACTGATAGTACAGATGAACCATTAATAGTATCGTCAATAAATGTTTAGAATGGTTAGAATGTTTTCCCAATTAGTTTATTGTCCAAATCTCGGCGATCTCTAACAGCATTTTCGTCTTATAAATTTTGTAGATGAGTTCCCAAGACGAGGTTGACATACTTGTTGGTACATGGGCACGGGGAGAGGAAACTAAGTGGATCTTCGAGCCCGACCTTTGTGATGTAAGTGGATCCATTGGAGCTCGGTATGACGTACAGGGAGTTGATCCGTCGGGTGAAGAGCAGACTCAACATAGTTGATCCCAACATCGCTGTTAAACTGGCCTACCAGTACCCAGACTGGCTAGTCATTGACGACGTCGATGGTTCAACTCCGGAGTACATTACGGACGATCAGGAAGTCGACGTTTTCATCGAAATGCGTAGAAACATCGAGGAGGTTAACCTATGTGTTACTATCTCCAAAACGATTTCCGGAATCACGACCACAGCTAATGGAGCGAGGAAGCGTGTTACAACGGACGCCAGAGTCCCAATAGATCCACCATGCGCCGGAGAAGAAGATGGAATGGAGGTGGAGGCAGAATGGCTTGGATTTGCGATGTCCGAGACACCTCTAACGTATCCGCCACAAACCCTCCCCGTCAATAGTACTGCACCTTAAAACTCCGGTGTCCGAACACGAGCCCGTAGCAGCGGCATCACAATCCGCGAACCGGAACCAGTCATCCGACTTGCTTCCCCTGTTCCATCCGGAAAAGATAAAGGGAAAGGTGTTGCTCTGTATGTGGACTCCGACACAGACGGCGATGAAGAAGATGTTGTTGTTCCTCAGTTCCGTCCTGCCCGGGAAGCTATGGACGCCGACGGGGATCGGAGTGTTCCGGTTCGGAGGCAGCTGTTTCCGGATGCGCTGGAGTTTGCTGAGGGGACGACGTCAGAATCAGGTCACGACGAGGAAGGGGAAACGAACTACGTTCCACAGGGTGACTTACCAACTTGGGGAAGATTCGAGCAAGCTCTGCATGAGATGCTCACTGATGTTAGTCAAGATCCTACTCTCTTTGGCCGGGATGCTCCACCGGTGTTTGAAAGGGCTCTGAACTGTAAGTTTACGATATCTTTGATGCTTTAAGAAGTCTCTCGTTCGGATTTAGTGTACATGAAAAGCAGGGGAATCGCTAGTATATTCGTAAATGCTTTAAGAAGTCTCTTGTTCTGATTTAGTTTACTTAAGAATGACTTCTTCTTTTCTTGCTGTAATCTCTAACCGCAGCTGCCGCATCACGTATTCTTATACATTTAACCACTGCTGCGACTGTCTGCAAAATGCGTTGTATTCATATGAGTTTAACCGTTTTCATAGTTACTACCTACGTTCAACGCTAACAACGTAGGCGTCACAACTGCGTTAAATGCACTGCATACCTGAACATCGACGATTTCGACGGTGGCAAATAAGGACGTCAGTAACTCCGTCTCCAGGTTGATACCATCGTCTATTCTGACGGACCTGTAAAACGAGCATACTACATCATACCTTTGGGACTAACGTTAGACGTCCCATTCAGAACGGGTTAGGGGTTCTCAAAACCTGGTGGTTGTGATGCCGGTCTGAAAGGCGTTCACGGCTTCTTGAGAAGGCAATTTGAATGGTTTGAAACTCCCCCCGAAGAGGAGATCTGACATGTCAGTGGGCCGTCGAGGGGAGGATATGGTTTTCTTACGGGTTCACCATTTCCAGCCGAACGACTGCGCATGAAGCTGGAGATAGGCACTTCGTCCTCCGCAACACTGCGACCCTGTAAGCGTGTGGAGCGTGTGGAGGTATTACTAATGAATCTCTGGAATAGGGCATTGTGACATTTAAATTATAATTTCAGCTTACATATACCTTCTCCGCTAGGGGACCACATTCCGTCCTTGAGGTCTCATCGGGGGAATCCAAATTAATAGCTGAACTGAACTCCGATGTATTCCCTCCGCCAACACCTGAACGTCTGCTACATCCTCCCCCATTCCGTTGCCGAGGCTGAAGTGAGAAAACACAATTAACGTTATTACTCTCCGACCGGAACATTGAAAACTTTTTAATAGTATGGACGATTTTTCCTGCAAGGAACAAACCACAGCGGTTTCCTCGGATTTCTTAGCTTCAGGAACGGCTTTCTGATTCCGTGTGCGAGGCCTACAAACGGGGCCTCCTGATGGCAGAGGCGTTCCGTCTGTCCTCCTCCGCCATGTCGGAGCATTTCTTCCCTTTTTGCGTCCACCGGAACAGGTTGGAGTGTCGTCCATATCAACGGGTGGCGTCCTCGTCCCTGTGTGGATACCTTCCCCGGAATGGTTACTCTGCCTGGTACTATTATTGGCATCACCAACCAGGTCCTTAAGCTCAGTCCGAATTGTATCAACAGCAGTGGCTATATGATCTTTCAACTGCTTCACATATGTCTCCCACATGTCCACTGCCCTACTTTGAAACACCTCAGCGGCACGGGTAATAATTTCTTCGACATCAACCCCGGCGCCTACTCCGGACGCTGCTTTCTCTGTTGTTGCCGGGTTGGTGCGGCACCTTTCCGAGCCATTGCCCTGCCTCATTTCACTTCTTTCTCGCCCCTCTGTCCCCAGTGGTGAGCCACAATCACTTTTATCTCCCCCATCTGCGGCGCCGCTATCCGTCGAGGTTGAAACATTCACATCATCCGCCTTCACTCCACCACGCCAACTATTGTGCTCGAAGGGGAAATCATCTTTTATCAAAGCGACAAGATGATCAACTTCGGCGTCTTCATCTTCATCTTCAAAACGTAGTTCTTCATCCGCCTCACCTCCTCCGTTGGCTATTAAGGAACGGACTTGGGCCTGCACATCGTAAGTGAACCGTCTGAATTAGTCCTCATATTGTAACGTGATATAAATAACTTACGGTTTTGTAAATAAGGTAGCTGCGAAGCTTGACAAATGACAGTTACCTGCCCTTGCTGATCCACATTTTTTGCATATGTAACATTCACATAACTCCAACTCCGAACCACTTGAACATTGTCAAATACACCAGCGGGGAAATCCGCCCTGGTTTGCTCGCTCAAAATATCCGGACAACAGCAGCCCGTTAGGAGAACCATTGCATGTGGAAAACCCTGTATGGCTGTACTATCCTGCACAAACTGCGCCGTAGTTCTTGCCTTCGCACTCTCCACAGTTAGTCGAAATGACTTTTTGTCCCCACGAATACTTAATGAACGCATCCACATCACGCACCATCTCCACCACCTCAGGATCTAAGTACATGGTCCCACTTTTGGGACACAACACACCCTCTACTAGTAGAAGAAGTGCTAGTCGAAACCTGGTCAACGGATCTTTGTACTTCCTCCCCATCAACAGCTTCTCCAATAACCACGCAGGTGTTGGTTTTTTAAACTCCCCGAAAAGTTCTGTCCACATTCGACCTCGCCCTTTACCTGCCTTTGCCTTAGAGCTTCGCTTAGAAGAACTGGGTTGGTCCCGTTTACGTTTCTTAGAACTCTCAGTTACCGGAAGCGGTTCACAATTGAGGCCAGTGACTAACGCAAACTCATTCACCCCATATCGTATTGGCTTCCCCGCACAAAATCCACCACAACCCAAACTTCTTCTTCGTGACTAACTGCCGTGATAACAGGTAATGTACAAACATAACGGAGAATGTGTGATTACCCATCGACATCAACCGCCGAAACTGTGAGTTATCAAGCATTTCCCTATACTCCGCATCCAAAGCTGGTTTTATGGTTTCCACCCACCGAAGAGTGAAGTAGTTGTTTACCCTTTTCCGACCGGTTGGCTCACATCCTGTCTCAAACATCCTTCTTGGTAAACCCTCCTCATCCATTCTGAACCCCTACATAAAACAATTGCAAAGAACACCATCAGAAACACATCTCCATCTCCGATATAATCAATTCACGCCCTTAGTTTCAAACCAAAGACAACTACTATATTTCCATACTATATAACGCAGCAAATCCTACTTATATGACTCCAAAATCCATCCCCGTTATGTACTAAACCCTAAACCGTCTTCCCTTACCAAATCTCCTACTTACATCTCACTTAATCACCGTCCAATCATGAAGGCAAAACAACTGAAGAAATTCTCGTACCTGAAATACGGAATCTGCAACTTTCTGTGCACCCCAATCTCAGATCTGGATTCGCAGAATCCGGACTATCGTCTCACCCTTCCGTAATATCCAATTGCAGATTCAACACTTCCGCCGCGCCCTACTTCTCGCAAGCAACCGGAACTGACCGACGCCGCTATCACGAATATTGGAATCAAACCCTTTCTCCCAACAACCTCTGGAAAATAACTCGACTTTATCTCAAATGAAACTGTTCCCCGACCGCCTGACTCCCCTCTGGAAAATTAACCTAATTTTCAAAAAACTTCAAAAAACAGTGACGGAGGGCGAATGTTGGTAATAAGATAGAAAATATACCGTATATTCTAGACATGTATTTCATAATGTCATTCCCTTAATTTCAACCCGTAATAATGTCATCCACTATAATTTCCCATTGTTATACAAAAAAGAGAACAAGAGAATAGAGAAATTGGTTGTGTTTATTCCATTAGTAATGAGCTCCTTATATAGGATTACAATATAGGGTTTTCCTTGGAGAGGAATACACTTGGAGAACAAGCTAGAACATTCTAGAATATGGGCCGATAATGGGCTTCCATATAAACTAGTTATAACACTCCCCCTTGGAAGTCCATTATCTAAAAATATCTTCTAAGTGCGCATGATGCTGCCTCGTTAAAACCTTACCAGGAAAACCCAAAGGGAAAAACCTTAGTTAAGGAAAAAGAGTACAGCGCGCAACTACTCCCCCTCATGAGAACATCCGTGTAGATTAGGTGAATGGACTTCTTGATAATAGCAGATGGAAACTCCTTTAAAATCTTCACTTGAACAGTCTTTAGAACATTGACATCGCCATTCTTCTTGGTTGCATGGATCAAGATGATTCATCTTGATCAATCTCCTTGCTTCACTTGATCTCATAAATAGATGACAAGACTTCTTTAGATGTTTCTCATTTGTGTGTTCTTTGTTGCCTCATTAAAACCTTTCATGGAAAAACCCAATGGGATAAAAACCATGATAAGGAAAAAGAGTACAACCACACATATCATCATATTCTCCCCCTTGGAAGCATCTTCTTCAGGAGATGCATTCCAATACTATCTTTTGGAGATTACTATAAGTATAACTTTGATGAAAGTCATTTAGACTTTTAGTCTAGACATCTTTTTCTATAAACAATCATTTGGACTTCTGGCCAAATTTTCTCTTTTATATACATTCTTGTAAACATCTATCTTGTATATATAATCTCATGCTCATTTTGCTCATTTTCAATTATGAAAGAGACTAACATATTTTTCAAATAGCATTTGAAGTATGGTACTTCAGGACCAAATATATGTGAGCATTGTTTATGTAAATCATGCCATAACATTTCTGGGAATTTGGGATATCTTAAGACAACTTTGTCTTTCCAAGATCTTTTATCCCATCTCCTTTTGTGATACTAATTTCGAAAATTCTTCTGGAATTTCGATGATGTTTAGACTAAGATCTCTTTTGATCTATAAATATACATGGGTATTTGTTAGCTTTATATATTCACTTTCGTGATTATATCCATGAATCAAATTTCTTTTCATTTGATTGAATAGCTAATATTTCTCCGGGAAAAACGATGATATCATTAATTCTTAATGATTATATCCTTCAGGGACTTTTACATAAATGTCATTGTTTAGTGAGTTGTATAAGTCAAGTTCTTCTTTCATTGCCAGACTTAATGAACTTGAAAGTTGCATCCACCACATGAGAGTATATCTCTTCATACTCATTCTTCTTCGGCACAAATGCCTTTATAACTCACTTGTTTCACACTTTTTAGGTGAAAGGACTTCTGGTCCAAATACTTTTCTCTTTCTAAGAGATTTTTTTTGTGTCTATTGCTTCTTTTCGATTTGGCCAAATCATTACTTTGTGTACACAATGCAATAGACTTTGTTTCATGATCCTCTTTCTCATTCATAATATCAACTGCTACATTGCATGCAAATATATTATTTACGACGTCGATTTGCTTCTGGTTCCATTTTATTCTATACATGACATAAGTAATTTCTCGAGATCTCATCATTGTCTCAGGTACCTGAATTTCTTATTTGTCATGTTTAATGTCTCTTCTGGAGATCACTCAAAAATATTTGTTTCCTCGGTTTGACCATTGTCAATTTATGCTCTTTTACTTTTTCGAGGATTATAATATTTGGAACCGACAAGTCTATCACGCTTCATGCGTTCTTTAGACTCACTAGCAGCTTGATATTGTCCTTCTGGGACATCAATTCTTATTAGAGCATTTACAGCTGGTAAGTGACTCAATCACTGATACAATAAGTTTTGTGAATGAATTATCTTTTGGACTTCTATTTCACATTCTATAGTCCGAGGATCAATGATAATTCATTCCAACTACTTTTCTTTCCAGCCTTTTATTTTCTCCCCCTGATGTTGGAAAGACTTATCCATTAACATGGTAGTCTATAAATCGAGCCTTACTTAAATCCTTCAGGGATAGCTCTAGATATTATCAATGGAGATTCATATCCAACATCTACAATCTCTTTTGAAGATCCATCTTATATTGCTGTGGTGGAGCAATGTGGATGTTGCACATCCAAAGGTTTCTGACCAAAACCATTTTCGATGGGGAGAAATTTTAAGTACTCCATTATATATATATATATATATATATATATATATATATATAAAACTGAGATTGAATTAAGATATTACCAGGAATGGGTTCGTCGCAGAGGACGATCCGTTTGGAGGCAAAGAGTTTACAGCTTCAAAGGAAGAACCGCGTGATCGAGCTCCCTTAGCAAGGGTGTCCGCACGGATGTTCAAAGAACGTGGAACAAAAGAAACAATGAAATTAAGAAAACACTTCTTAAGAGTATCAAACTCCTCCAATTCTGCTATAAAGGCTGGCCATTCCTCTTCTTCTTTCAGCATATGAAGGACTTGTTGGCTATCGGTTTTTAGGTGTAGGGATGTGTATCCGATCTCGCTGATGTTCTTCATTGCCAAAAGGATAGCCTCTAGTTCTGCATGTAGGGCTAATTGGCTATTTTAGTATGCCTTTGATCCATAGAGACATGAGCCGTCTGTATTTACCAGGATAAAACCTAGGCCAGTCCATGGATCCGACCAGTCCATATATATAGTACAATTTATTATTTAATAGTGAATACATGTAGCTTCTCTAATATACTATTAGAGCCTTGGGAAATACTTGTTATTGAATGTTATTTAACATTTCCTTCACATATTGTCTCAATATATAATAAGTTCTCAAATCTCATGGATTTTCTCTTTATAGTATAAATCTCAGTTTTAATGTGAACTTAATCTTCTGGATTTTTCACTTTATATGTATGTGGAAATCCTTAATTCTCCCCCTAGAGATAACGACAATTCAGGTTCATCAATATCGAACTGAATCCTCTTATATAATCAACTTGGGTCATTAATATTTGATACTTAAGAGAATTTTAATACATCCTCTCTTCTGGAGATTTTATTCTTTATACTACATGGTATTGTACTCACATTAGATTATTTCCTCTGAGAGAAATATCTCTCATTTGTAACCATCTCTATTTTCTCACTTCTGGTGATAATTTGATTTCTTGAAAAGAATTCTTTGGCCTTAGCCATGACTAGATCCACACAAAGTCCACCCACGACCACATCTACAACTTATTAATGTGGTTTTTTTTTCTTACATTCACTTCAGGGAATGGAGTGGAACCATTTGAAATAAATTAATAGATTTCTCATTAATAGCTCATTATTTTGTTCAGCCTCAATGAAAAAATAAATTCATAATACGTCTCCAGGACAATATTACTTGGCTAGAGCATGTCTTCTAGCATTTCTGAACATTCTTGAGTTAATACTCATTTACAGACTTCAAGTCATGTAATCTTAAATGCAATTTTATTGAGCTCTTGGTGATCATTAATTTTATTTAGATTTTCTCTAAATAACTTGTGGATCATGTACAGTCAAGTAGTAAATCTTAAAATCATAGATGACAATATATGATCAAACTATTTATAAACAAGATAGTGTTCACATTAAATGACTTAATCAATCATTCATTAGTTTCTTACTCTTATGTCATTAAATTAGGTTCTTAATCCATCATTCAATTAATTGATTCACCAAAAGAAGTCAATATATAATCAACACAGGGCAAACGTGGTATAACTCTATTCAGAATGAATTAGACAAATCAAGCAAGTCAAGCCAGTATTCTAAATATGCATATTTGGTGATGGTTTCAAATTCTAAGAATAAAATTTCAGTATGCCGGAATTTCAGTTATAAAAGCCATGCATGATCATGAACTTAAAACCATCAAATTCCAAAAGCAGTAAATATTAAATTAACGTTTCTTTTATCAAAATATGATGAATTATAATAAACTATCAAGTTCTTTTAATAGTGGTGACAAAATCAAACCAACTATCAAACACATCATCACATGTAGTCATGATCAATATTAAGCATTTCTCAGATGATGAGTTAATTATTATTATAAATATTACTAACCTCAACAGTTAGTTGAATCGGACGGTGACTAACGACAGAGATGGCTTTGGGGAACACAGACAACGTCATGAACTATATCCGCATTTTCCTTTCATGAATCCTTTTTATCAGTAAAAAGGTTTTGGCCAAAAACCCCTAAGAAAACAAGATAAGAATTGATAGTCGTTAAACCATTGAAACAAGAAATTTTAGATCTCATAAGTGAGTGAGGATCATAATCATCATGTTCTTCAAATACATGAGCCAAATAATATTTATCTAACCAACATATCGAATCAGACAATGAAACAGCTATAGGCAGTATTCAAGGATTCCAGAAAATAATCTCATCAACCAAAAGTATTGTTAACCATCATCTAGACTTTATAACAAAATGATTCTAGATCAATTCATGTTTATGACGGAGAATTCTCTTGTGCTAATCCACTATATATAAACCAAGAAATTAAAAATTTATGGTGATTGATTATTTTTCAGTAAATCAGGCATTACAATGTCTGTCAATAAAATAAGCAAACAGCAATACAATTCTTATCAATTTATGCACTAATCGAGGAACAATAGATGATGAGATGAATATTAATATGGTAAATGAAGTCAGCTTCTTTTTCGTCAATAATATGGATGAAGCAATAATAACCATAGGCCAATCATATCAAATTCAGAACTCAAACCATCTCAATAAAAAGAAAACAAGTAACTATAATTTGTGAGCAAGATTCGATCAGACAATAAACAATTAATCGAATCAAACGATTCATAATACTTAGCTTGATTAATGATGATGGGAAATCGAGATACGTGGCCTATGTAGCAGCAAACTTTGACCAATAAACGGAGCATAAATCAAACCTAACTCAAAGCAAGTTTCGTTCTATTATATGGCATGCATGTCTGTTGAACCCAGATTTAGCACCTAAATCTCTCTCTACTTAAGGTCTATTAAACGATTCTATAAAGTATATTTCTAATGCAACTGGAATGGCTTCATTTGAATGAGTAGAAAAGGAGTTATAGCCAAAAGAGTGAAGGCTGCTCCAGACAGCTATATCGAGAATCACGCCCGAACGCGCAGTCCGGCTGGCCGAGGAACGCATGTTCCGCGCTCGGCCAAACTATATCCGTCCGACTGAAGTCTCGGCCAAAGTTCAAACCGACCGGCCGATCACGCAACACGACCCGGGAAACATTGTCCCGCGGTCGGCCAAGCTTCAACGTTTCACGCCACGCCGCGCACGACCAGCGCGCGAGCCGGGAAAAAGCCTCGCGGCCGCGCAACCCGTTTCGCGTACCACGGCCGATGCATCCGTCCGAGCCGGGAAAGAACGTCCCACGTCCGGCCGAGAAACCATCGGCCAAATCTCTATCCGTCCGACCACGACCGTCATCCGCCACGACCGTTCCGACTCGACCCAAGACCCGACTGTCCGGCCGATCGTCCCGACGACCGTCCGAACGCCGCGGTCGACCCGAAGCCGTTTTTGAAGCCCAATCCGCACAATTCAAGCCCAAAGCCGGCGCCGACCTAGCTAGATTAGGTTTAGCCGCTTTTTCATACTTAGAGCATTATAAATACTTCTTTTTAGCCTTGTAACTCAAGAAGGAGAGAGACCACAATCTATTTTACATCTTAATAAAGTTTTGCTTGCTTTTACTTTGTTCTTGCTTGTTACTCTTTCTAGAGAGGATTCGAATCTCTGTTCTTATGAATATGAATTCGTGTTCCTTCTCTATGTCTGAGTAGTTTACTTGTTAAGTGATAGGAAGTCAAAGGATAGCATTCATGATGCTTGATGATTGATCACAATTAGGGTTTTACTTATAATCTCCATCTTTGCTTATACTTAATGCTTGTTGTTAATCTGGCCAATTAGCATATGCCTTTAGGTTGATTTGAGCCTCGACAGTGCTGTATCATTCGCCTGAACTAGTATTTGGTGGGCAATCTCTTTTAGACTGCGACAGTTGATCTACTTGTAGGTTGTGAACAATTGATCTTGATCGAACTAATGCTTGATTTAATCACCTAGGGACATACCAAAAGTTTAGCGACTAGGTAGATTAACAAAGGGGTCGGAGCCTCGACAGTGGAATGATCATACCATAGTGTTTCAAGTTCTAGATTAGCACCTAAGTGCGGTAACCCTAATTGATTGATTTCATGCTTCTTGAATTGCTTATCTCAAGACTATCCTATTGCTTAGCCTTTCTCTCCTATTGAATCTTACTTTTATTACTTGCATGCTTTACTTTCTCTGCACTCAACCAACTTATACTTTTGCCCTAGCTTGTTCTCAAACTCATAACTTGTAGTGTGCAATCTGGTCCTTGTGTTCGATACCCGTTTACTACTTCTGACCTGTGCACTTGCAGAATCAGGGATAGGAAAGGGGAAGACCTGATCCCGCGATCAATGAGCTCGTTCAAACAAATTGTGAGCTCTCCCGCATACCAATTACAGAAAAACAAAAAACATCCCGAAAGATGTGTCAACATTAGCTCGAAGCTTGACAGCTCGCTCGATCTGAAACAATACTACTATTAAGTAGTAAAACAGTCGAACTACGTAAAGGCTTGATCCCCCGACGGGGTACATAGGCAGCTCACACTCGAGTTCAGCCACCCATGGATCATGCGACGAGCTGAAGCTATCCTTCCTCATCGTCCTACTCCTCTATTTTTGGAATTTTTAGTTGTGCAACCAACTCCATCTATTCAAGAAAGATACACTTTTTTGAACCTTTTTGATTCACTATGTCCACGCACAACAAAACAAGTCAACTTAGCTCGACGAACTAAACATAAGAACGAACCTTACTCTAGTCGGGCTCACGCTCACGTGAATAATTATCCTAAACACCATACGATCTCTTCAAATGATTTACGACATAGATATCTTAAAACGATCTATGACAAATTCAAAATTTGAACACTCAAGCGATTTCCACAATCAAACCAAAGCTCGATGATGAACTTAAGTTCAGACGATATCATTAAGCTACAGCTCAACAACATAAGAATTCAACAAAAATCCTTTGTCGAAATTACCTATAAAACGAAATACAATGTTTGTTCTGTAATCGATCTTCAGTCTGACAACTCGATATGGGATCAAATATGAAACCAACTACGGAATCATAAACGCAAAGTTGCATAAACATGAGAGAGGAAATCTTGTCTTATTCTCTGATTTCCGCCTATCGAGCTCATCACTTCGCTCGATAGGCTGGGGGGCTATTGTTGGACCCAGATCTAGCACCTAAATCTCTCCCTACTTAAGTTCCATTAAACGATTCTATAAAGTATATTTACTTGGGCTTACCTGTTTAAAGGCCTACTCTAGTCTTCATCGAGCTGGCGAGATCTCGAGTTATGAGCTGTTGAGATATCGAGCTACCGTACGAAACAGCTATCATTCAGGACTTAGTCAAGGTCGTTCGGCGTAATCCCGAGAAATCCGGAGTTAGTTGCTCGGTGGAGATCCCACTAAATCCGGAGCACGTGCAGCAGGAGATCCCAAGATCATAGAAGCAGGCGAGATATGAGCACTCGCAAGAGAACTATAAAAGGAGCAAAAGTCTAAGCATAAAGGGGATCATCTCTTCATCATCCTTCACCATCTGATATTCAATCTTTTACTCATTGAACACATTTTTAACCTAAGTCTATCTTGTACGCTCTTCGAGCTCTCATATTTCCAGAAATACCTTATGACCCTAAATCTTATTTGATCAATATAAAGTCCATATTTGCTTATTCTTTTGCCTAAGTTCTTGAGTGCTTGTGAGAATCTTACCTACTTTTTCCCCATCCTTAAACTACTATCAAATTTCTAAGTATGAGTTTTGCGTCCCACAATGTCTCAATAAATATTTCTAAATTCATACAGATATTACCAGTAAACAAGATCTGAAACATTAGCGATTGGTTTATAATTTAATAATATGGTCATGAAACGTTATTCAAATCATGCGTAGATCTATAAGATGAAATATATTAACAAGTTATGAAATTCCAATGAATCTTCTTTTACTTAATTTTCAAATAATCATGAAGCAATAATGAAGATATAAAATAAAAACAAACAAATAAACAAGAACAATATATCAAATGAAGCAATTAACAATATAAAAATTTTCTGGGATATATAAATAAAATCTTTCTGGGATATAAATAATTTTGTAATGTTAATCCTTCAGGGATACAAATCCTTATGAGACTGAGATGTGTTTGTTACATTACAAGAAAAAGGAAATATTGTAACTAATCATTGTTACGAAAATTATTCGTCATGAATCTGTGACATTTTATATATGGTTTTGTGACTAAATATTTATGTCACAGAAATGTAGCTATTACGTCACAGTTTTGTGACATTCTAATTTGTAACCATAGTTTGTCACCGTTAGTAACGAAATTGTAACCATAGTAGCTATCGTTACAACTGTGACAATACTGTGACCAAATGTATAGTAGCAACTTTGTTACAAACTTGTGATGAAATAACCAGTGTTAATTTATAACGAAACAATAACTAATTAATAGTCACTAATTGGTACAAATTTAAAAACACAGTAAACATTACAAATTGTAACTAAAAATGTAACAAAACCGTCTCAATGAAAAAATAATGTTTCCAATATTTTATTAAGTCATAATATTATAGGAGATAGCTATCAAAATATTATCATGACATACGTTTTATTTTGATCTTTTTTTTATAAACGAAAATATAAAATTTACTTCTTTTTTACATATAAGAAATGTATATTTTCCTGTTTGTTAAAAAGAAATATAATGTATCATAGTAATATTTATACTAATTACTTTTATTATACCTTACAGATAAAAATAAATTTCCTAATTAGATAGTGATTCACTTTAACCAAAAAAAAAAAAGGAAAAGCATCAATATTTTCTTATTAGGTAATATACATGCATATGAGATCCACGATACTTGCAAAAATCAAAAGTTCATAATACTAGATCCTCACGTTGGAATCAAAGATAACACAAGGCAGGCAAAAAGCTTTTCTCCAAGACAGGTAATTAACGAACTCAATATTTTTCTTCTTCAAAAAGTATTTCAATAATTGTGTTCAATAAATATTATATTTTTGATTTGTGTTCAAAACTTATTATATTTTTGATAATCCAGACTATGTCAACGTCGTCGAGTGATGGTATTAAAGTTAGAAGACGGTGGATGTATGAAAGAATTGATCATGCTAATAATCAAGTTTCTGAAGTCTTATGTCAAGGATTACAAAGTTTGATGAGATTAGCAAAGAATCAACCTCTATTTCTCGAGAAAGGAAAGATCTTCTGTCTATGTTTTAAATGTGAAAACGGAAGATTACTGAAAGAAGAGATTGTTTGGAAGCATTATATACAATTGAGGCTTTATGTCTAACTATTGGGTTTGGATTTCTCATGGAGAAGATTACGATATGCTCAACAATAATCATGAGGCTTTTGATGATTTTATAAATGCTGAGGGAGTTGGTTTTGATAACGAGTCTCTTACGGAACAAATAAATCCTTATGTGGCAATGGTTTCAGATGCATTTGTTGGGAACATGGAAGAATTTGTTGAGAACATGGAGGAAGAGCCTAATGCTGAAGCAAAAAAGTTTTTTCATATTCTGGATGCTGCAAAAAATCCTATTTATGATGGGTGTAAAGACGGTCTGTCACAACTCTCTTTAGCAGCTCGGCTCATGAGTTTGAAGACCGATTATAACCTGCCACAAAATTGCATGGATTCGATTTCTCATATGGTGCAAGATTTTTTGCCACAAGGTAATAACTCAATGAACTCTTACTATGATATTAAGAAGCTTATGCGGTCATTGGGTTTACCTTATCACAAAATTGATGTTTGTGACAGTGTTCATCCTGAGCCAGGATCGAACTCTCAATGATATTTTGGAAAATTGATGAAAAGGAGGAGAATTGCAAATTCTGTAAAAAAGATAGATTCCGGCCTATACAAAAGCATGGACAGAAGAAAGTTGCATATCGCCAAATGTTTTATTTGCCGGTAGCTGATCGACTCAAGAGATTATATCAATCTGATAAAACTGCAAAAGAGATGAGATGGCACGCAGAACACTTAGCGAGTATTGGAGAAATGTGTCATCCCTCAGATGGAGAAGCATGGAAACATTTTAACAAGGTATTCCCTGATTTTGCTACTGAGCCAAGAAACGTTTACCTTGGGTTATGCACAGACGGTTTTAATCCATTTGGTATGTCAGGACATAACTATTCATTATGTCCTGTTATTTTAACTACATATAATATGCCACCAGAGATGTGCATGAAACAAGAGTTTATGTTTCTAACAGTTCCTGGTCCGAGTCATCCAAAAAGAAGTCTGGATATTTTTCTTCAACCTTTGATACAAGAGCTGAAGGATTTGTGGTGTAATGGTGTTCATGCATATGATATATCTACTAAGCAGAATTTTGTCTTACGAGCTATACTTATGTGAACAATTAGTGACTTCCCTGCTTATGGTATGCTTTTTGGGTGGACAACTCATGGTTGGTTGGCATGTCCTTATTGTATGGAGGAGACCAACACATTTCAGTTGAAGAATGGGAGAAAAATAAGTTGGTTTGATTGTCATCGCTGTTTTTTACCCATAGATCATAATAACAGGTGGAACAAGAAAAATTTCAGAAAAGGAAGGGTTGTGAATGATAATCCACCTCAAATACTAACAGGCCAGGAACTCTTCGATAGAGTTAGTTGCTTACCAAAAACAGTTGATTGTGGAGGAAACCATGGACGATTAAAAGGATACGGTGATACTCACCATTGGCATAAGCAGAGCATTTTTTGGGAGTTACTGTTGAATCCGAGATAGCACTCGTCAAGACGGGCTATCAAAGATGTGAGTTTAGGAAACTGGAAGCTTAATTCAACTCAAAGAATATTAAGAAGATTACAAAGTGATTATCTCGCTAACAAGCTTGTCGAGATAATGGTGATGAACAAGAAGAGAAAGTAAAGTCGGTGCAAAAGCCTAGTAATTCTAGATGGTCTCGGATGCCTTTTCTCCAATGGGGGGGTCTTCAATATATAGTGTTGTAAGTCGGCTGGATGATGAATATCTCCTTCGGGCGAGATGGAAAACTTCCTCTTTTGCGATATAGAAAACTTCCTCTTGTTCTTGATTTTCTTTCCATTCTTTAGGTCGGCATGAGGGTTTGTTTACATTCTCTCATGGATTGTGTCTTCCTTCTCAAGTTTTGCCTTTTTGCTGAGGAAGTCAGGCCTAAAGTCGGATTGGGCTTTGTGATTTTACTAATGGTGACGGGCTCAGGGAAATGTGCTAATTTCTCCTCTAACAATAAGTCCCCCCACCAGCTCGGCAAGTCAAATGCGGTTTGATCTCGGCGAGCTTCATGAATAAAGAATGGGTTCGAGAATCATTAGTAAAAGTACATCGTTCCAATCGGATCTAGTGCCCAAGTGCATGCCGAATGTAGATTTGTGCCGCCTCGTTAAAACCTTGGTATGGAAAAACCCAATTGGGACAAAAACCATAAGAAGGAAAAAGAGTACGTCGATGTCATCTAATTCGCAAAATAATGTGCTTTGAATGATTTTTTCCGAGACCAAGAATGCTTTCTCGTAGAAATCAGTAATGGGTTTAATCGGCCCATGACCTGTTTTGATTGGCCCGAGTTTCGATAAAATTGCTTGTGCGGGAAAAGGAAAAAGTCTCGGAGAAGCTTTCTCTTTTAGAAATCGTGAAGTTCTTATTAAGGAAACTACTTGGATTTCCCGAGACGCTTATTCCTTTCCCGCGGTACTGATTTCCTCGATTGCTTTTTAAGGGAAGGTGAATATCTCTTCGCTGCTATCCCAGTCTGAATTTCATTTCTCCTGCCCTCTTCTTTTGCGCTCTCGATCGCACAGATTGAAAGTAATTCATCGATGTCGACGTCGGCTTTGGAGCGTAATGCCGTTCTCAAGGCGATTTGTGAGACAGTCGACGCGACGAAGGTGATGGACTCGCCCGTCGAAGGAAGACCCGCCGTTCTAAATGGAGAATCTGGCAACCATTCTCGGGAAGAAGTTTCACACGAGGATATGGGATCTGATCCCGAACTCGGCGAGGAAAAGGTTCCAGACTGCGCAAGGCTCGATGGTATTCCTCGGAAGGTTGAGATGCCGTGGAGGTGGTCTGCGAGGTCCCTAGCTCGGGATGGCCAGTCTGGAATGACCGAAGAGATAATCGTTGCTCTGAGGGAGAGAGAAGGAATTAGTGATGCAGTTCAGATTCTCGTTCCTTCGCCTGATCAAAGGCCGATGGATGCTCCATCTGGGTGGTTCTGCATCTATGAATGCTTCCTTACAGAATTTAGGATACGTTTTCCGGTCCTTCCGTTGCTTCTTGAGTACGCATACGAGCGGGGCGTAGCGTTGAGCCAGCTGACTCATGGTGTGGTGCGGCACATGGTTTTTTCGGCTGCCCAGGCGAAGGCGGCCGGGATGAAATTAGACAGGGAGCTTTTCGAACGCATCACCGACCTCCGTGCTGGGGTTAAGGAAGGGAGTTTCAACCGTTTTCACACGTCGATGAAGCATGACATCGTTTTTGGTGATCATCGAACAAAGATTCACCATTGGACGCGCTACTATTTCTTTTTCAAGGTTGACCGTGCTTCGGTCGGAGATTTTGATCCCAGTCATGTTCTGACATAATGGGTTCAAGAGCCAGGTAGAACTACTGTGAATTCTTCCCCACTTTGGTGATTGCTCCGTATGCTAATTTTTACCCTCGTTGTTTTATATACAGAAAGGATTGCCCCAAGGAAGGTAAATACTATTCTGAAGGAGAAGTTCAGAACTTTACGTAACCTGAGTAGGGAGACTTGGGCAGATGTGGTTGCCGAAACTGAAAACAAGAAGAAGGAAAAGAAAGGAAAGGCTACTGCTGTAGCGGTTCCTCTCACCGGTAGATGCTCAATCATTGCTTTTGAATTTTAGTGCCGACGAGACCTTTAAGTACCTTCTACCGTTTTTCAGATAAGTTGCCAGATGTTGCTAAGAAGACAGGTTTAAGGAAGAGGGCCCCGGCTTTGGTGGATGATGGCATCTTGATTTCCGATTCCTTATCCAAGCGGATGAGGTCAGATTCTTGCGAGCCGAGTAATATTTCTCGGCCGCCGGGGTCTCTTGGGGGTGCCGCCAGAGGTGGTTTCTCGTCTCCGACTGTCATGGCTTCTTCTTGCCGGGATGATGACATAACAAACCCGGAGTCTGGAGATGTCGAGATGATGGGTTTTGCCGGGATAGACTCCGATGTTGTCTCCCTGAAGTGGAAAAGGCGGTGCTCCTTTAATGGATAATGACGAGTTTAGTGGAGAGATGGTTTGGGGCTGCAAACCTAAGCCACGCTGGGGGGTTCCGCGTGGTGAGCTTGAATTTAAAGGTGCTCTTGACGAAGCTTCCGGTAATCTTACTAGAGCTGGGGGGAAGTTTAAGGGTGCTCGAAACGGAGTTGATCAAATCAAAGCCGATTTGATTGATAAATTTGGTGGCGATGCGGCTGCAATTAGGTTTCGAGAGGAAAAGATTGCTCTCGAAAAGAAGATAGAAGCTCTCAAGGTTGAAATTGCGAAGGTATTCGATCTCGAAATTGAAAATAATCAACTACGGAGCAAGATTACGCAGCTGGAGGATAAGGCTTGTCGGGATGTGGAGAATTCGACTGCCAAGATGGCTCGTCTTCGCAAGTCCCGGAAGAAGTGGGCTGAATTGACGGCTGCTCAAGTGTACGAATCGATGCATAATTGGTATACTCCGAGGTTGGATCGTATAGGCAGATGGCTCGTCTTCGCAAGTCCCGGAAGAAGTGGGCTGAATTGACGGCTGCTCAAGTGTACGAATCGATGCATAATTGGTATACTCCGAGGTTGGATCGTATAGGCAGATACGTCGGTCAACGGGATGCGGTAGAGAAGGCGGTGGTTAGGATCCAAGTCGACGAGGCTCTCCTTTCTTATGTCAGGAAAATAAAGGGGGTTGAGCAGGATTTCGATGCGGTGGAGAAGATGCTCGAAGCCCGGTTGCGGGAGAGTAAAGCTGCCGGGGATTTGGTCGAGGACAACGAAATTTAGGATAACGATTACGCTCCACCCCTAAGGTTAGATCTCCGTTTTCGTCTTGCTGAATTTTGCTTTGACCATGCGTGGGTTACTCCGCGGAATTTTGATCAATACGGGTCGATATATCGAACATTCAGGCCTACCCTAGCTGAGTTGGCGTTTCCGTGTTCCCCGTCGCGTCATCGATCAAAGTAGAAGGAGAGAGGAGATCGGGATTAGCTTTCCTTTTTCTCTTTCAACGGTTTCTTGTTTACTTTTATCATCACAATTACCCGGGAGGGTTTTAATCCATAAACTTTGGGACTAGTTTTGTTTTGGATTTTATTTGTTGCTTTAGACATAGTTGATAATTTCACAGCCCAATGAAAGAACCCAGCTTTAGGCCATGTCTTTTAATGAGAAACAATATGCCTTCGATCGGTTGAGGTAAGCCGGTTTATTCAATCGTCATCGAATAGATGACCTACCTATGCCGAGATAGCTTGTAAATCTCAAATGTGTCGAGCAAATGCTTTTGCTTGACGGTGCGGGTGCGTCGTGATGTTCCTCGAAGCTTTCATAGTTCGTCACGACTCTCATTCAAGACACCGACCAATGCGTATTAGGTCTAGGGTGCTGTGAACTGGTGGATCACATATTTTGGCGACGAGATCTAGCGGCTCGATTTATGCCAACGATACCGCGGTCCGGTATGTGTAAGGAGGTAGCGATTTTATCTCTCGCTCATAGGGACTGGTGTCGTGCGAGGTGCGTGCTCTCGTCTTTTGTGGGTGATCAGTCCACGGGTTGCTGTTTTGTAGTGCATCTGAGCGTTGGGCCAGAACGTCGGTAGAGTTGCGTTATTTCGGAATTATGCTTTGCATGCTGAGCTAGCGTTGCTGCCGCCTTCGGTAAGAACTTCAGTTACCAGCTGAAGGCGAAGTCGTTACTTCTGGGCCTTCGCCGAGACGGGAACATATCCGAAAAGGTTCTATAAGAAGTGCTTGTATTGGGATTAATAAAATAAAAGGGCTTTTTATTTTTATTAATTTATAGCTGCGCCTTTATTGAAAAAGACTGCCTACGTACCCGTGCCGGGATCAAGCGAATCGTAGTTCAGTACAAATGTTCATGTCATGCACATGTCTTTTTTTTTTTTTTTTTTTTTAGGGGGGGGGAACGCGGTGCGTCGCGTCTAAGTGTGGAACTTGCGTAGGTTTATGGAGTTCCATGAGCGAGGGAGTGGGTTTCCGTGGCAGTCGTCGAGCTCGTAGACTCCAGGTTGACGATCTTTGTGATGCGGAATGGTCCTTCCCAATGGAATCCGAATTTGCCGGCGTGCTCAGGTTTGGTAAAGTCGTGGACTTTCTTGGAGACAAGGTCATGGAGCTCGAAACGTCGGTTTCGTACCTTCCTGGCGTAGTACATGGTTGCTTGTTGTTGGTAGTTTTGCATACGCAGGAGGGCACGATCCCGCGGCTCTTCAGCGTGGTCCAAGCTGTGCAGGAGCAAGTCGTCGTTTAGCGCCGGGTTGAGAGGCATCAAAGATCGTCGTAAGCTTGCGACGTCTAGTTCTGCTGGTGCTAATGCCTCGCAACCGTGTGACAAAGAGAATGGAATTTCCCCGGATGCGGTTCTGGGGTGGTTCGATGTGACCAAAGTACTCCATCTAATTCGCCTGCCCAAGCTCCTTGGTAGCCTTCGAGCATTTTCTTCAATCCGTCGACAATAGTCTTGTTTGTGGACTCGGCTTGTCCATTAGCTTATCCACCTCCTCGCTGACCGCTTGGGCTTTGTCGGTGCCGAGCTTGCGCGTTTTCTGCTTCATTGGTTTGTAGGTGGACTTCACGTTTAGCTCGTGAGATGTGATTGCTGGATCGATCTCCTTCATGTCTGCCATTGACCACGCAAAAAGATGTGCATTTCGTTTGAGCAATATGATCAGCTGCTCTCTGATCTTTTCGTCGAGGTCGCCACCGATGCCGACACGTCTTTCTGGATGTGCTTCGTCAATATTGACTTCGTCGACGAGGGCCGGCTTGGGCCTTTGGTGGTATGGTAGACGTGGGTCCATTTCCTCGTTTGCGGTGCATGCCGCTCTGAGGCGAAGTCGTCGCTCATGGAGGAAGCATGACCTTGCCGCTCTTTGGTTCCTTCTTAGTGTGTAAACCCCTAATTGCGTTGGGAATTTCACACATTGATGAAAGGTTGAGACGATGGCTTTCATCTCGTGGAGCCATGGGGTGCCTAAAATGGCGTTGTAGATCGCTGGCCTATTAATGACAAAGAATTTAGCGGTTTTGGTCGTTCCTCCGACGTGGATAGGTAGGCGGATCGTGCCTTCGCTGAAGATGTGTTCGGCGGTGAACCCGGTGAGGGGCACAGTGAATGCTTGATTTGGTCTTTGCTGATTCCCATGCGGTTTAGGGTTTCTTTGAAGATCAGATTCACCGTACTTCCGGTGTCGATCAGGATTCTTGCTACGTTTGAGTCATGGATGTGCAAGCTGACCACGAGTGGGTCGAGGTGGGGGGTATCCAGTCCCGCCGCATCCTGATCCGCGAAGAAGATAGTGGGGCTTTTTTCGCGGGTCAAGTTGCGATTGTGCTCTGTTGTTGTTGCGCGTTCATGCTCCATGATTGTTGAGACGGAATCATGGTTGATGAGGTCACCCATTATCATGTTAACCTGCTGTCTTGATGGTCGTCGGAATAGTCCGTCATGTCATCGGGTGTGTCTTCTGGTGTTGCGGGTTGTGTCAACTTCCTTTTACGGCGAGAGCGGTCTCCCCTCACCGGTGGTAGTTCTCCGTGTTTGTACCTCCGGAGGAGATCGCGAGTTAAGCGCCGGCAATTTCTCGTAGAGTGGTCGCCATCTCCGTGGAGGCGGCAAAACATGTTGGAACCGTCGCGATCGGATGTTGCGACATCTATTGGCAGTGTCTCGGTGTGATGCGGTTCTTGTTCGGGCTCGTCGTCGGCTGCTCCGAACGCTGTTAGGAGTGATCTTTTGGGGTTGTACCTTTTTCGCACCTCCGCGGCTTTTTCTGCGGGTTTCGACAAGGCTGCTTTCTTATCTCCGTGCTTCTCGGCATAGAAGCGTTTGTCCTCCTCGAGGAAGATGTAGTTCCGAGAGCGGTGGAACGCGTCCTCCAGAGTCGCAGGGGGTTTTAGTGACAAATCCTCCTTGAACTTGGAGTCGTACCAGAGGCCGTTGCGGAGTGCTTCCAGCGGGACGCTATCGGGCATGTCGCCAGTGTCGCGGCTGCTTGTTTGAACCTTCCATAAAGCTGCGCAATGGTTCGCCTTGGGTTTGCGTTGTGGTGAACATGTTCCGAGTGATTCGGGTCATGTGCATGGAGTAATGCTTCAGAAAAGCATTGGTTAGGTCGTCGAAGTTATCGATCGACTCGGCGGGGAGGTTAGAGAACCAGGTCAAGGCATCTTTCGCCATGTGCTCGACGAATACTTGACAGTAGTTGGCCTCCTTTCGTCGTAAGATTTGTATTTCTCCCTCCTCATGGCGAGGTTGAACGCGGTTAGCCACTTCTTGGGGTCTTCTTCGCCGGTGTAAGAGTCGATTTTGAGTCGAACTCTTCTCGTGCTCAATCTGGCGGAGCCTGCGGGTGAGCGGGCTTCTTCGGGTGTCGGCGAGTGCTTTCGTCAATTCCGGAGCTGAGCTGGTGGCGCGATGAACTTTCGAATCGACCTCGTCGAGGCGACGATTCATCCGTTCGAGTTCTTGGGTGGTAAGTCGCCTGAAGTGCGGGGCGGTTGTTCCGTCAGTGGGACTTGACGGATCTTCATCGTCTTCTCGTGCTAGGGCTTCCACCTGTTCCTGAGTCTTTTTCTGCTGTGCTCGCATTGACTCGAAACCGTCGGCGAGCGGCTTGACGAGATTCTCCATGAGTTTGAGGATCTTCTCGCTCGAGGAGGATTTCTTCGAGCTGCGGGGTTTGTCGCTCGAGGAAGATTTTCTTGAGCGGCGTGGTGCGGACGGGGGAGGGCTCTCGTCCTTCTTGGCGGAGGGGATCGTTGCGGCGAAGTGATCTTCGCGGCGATAGATTCGCGGCGATCTCTGTGGCGAGAAGATGGTTCCTTGTAGGGACAGGCTTGTCCCTACCTTCAGCGGGTAGCGACTTGTCTATCGTGCTGGTAGACTGTCGCTTAAGTTTTCTTCTGAGGGAGACGGGCTCCCGGTGGGAGTGTTCTCTTTCGAGTTCACCATCGTTGCTAGTTCGTGAAAATCTAGATATCTTCGAGATGAATAGCGAGAAGCGTTTCCAGCCCCACGGTGGGCGCCAATTGTTGAATCCGAGATAGCACTCGTCAAGACGGGCTATCAAAGATGTGAGTTTAGGAAACTGGAAGCTTAATTCAACTCTTAGATTATCAAGAAGTTACAAGAGAGAATCTCGCTAACAAGCCTAGCGAGATTATGGTGATGAACAAGAAGAGAAAGTAAAGTGTGAAAGCCTAGTGATTCTAGATGATTTCGGATGCCTTTCTCCAATGGGGGGGTCTTCAATATATAGTGTTGATAAGTCGGCCGAATGATGAATATTCTCCTTCAGGCGAGATGGAAAACTTCCTCTTTTGCGATATGGAAAACTTCCTCTTGTTCTTGATTTCCTTCCATTCTTTAAGTCGGCATGAAGATTTATTTACATTTCTCCATGGATTGTGCCTTCCTTCTCAAGTCTTGCCTTTTTCTTGAAGGAAGTTAGGCCTAAAATCGGATTGGGCTTTGTGATTTTACTAATGATGACGGGCTCAGGAAATGTGCTAATTTCTCCTCTAACAATTATCTTATTGGAAATATATCTTGATGTGATGCATATTGAAACAAACTTTTTTGATAATATCATCAATACTTTATTGAATGTGCAAGGAAAGACAAAAAATAATATCAAATCACGAATGGATTTGAAAGAGTATTGTAATCGCCAAGAGCTACATGTAACAACTGATGGGAAGACACCATTTCCGATTTTCATACGACAAGCCGATGCAAAAACAAGTTTTTTACGATGGCCTGAGAAAGATGTTAAGTTTTCTGATGGATATGCATCAAGCCTGCCCAAGTGTGTTGATTTATCCAAAGGAAAATTAACAGGAATGAAAAGTCATGACTGTCATATTTTGATGCAATGATTAATACCGATTACGTTTGCGGAGCTTCTCGATAAACCTGTAAACCAAGCACTATCTGATAAGTATATAACTTTTAATATTAAAAAGATTTTGTTGCATCTGCTTAGCTCTGTTTTATAGTCTCTGTTTTTGTTTTTGTTTTTGTTTTACTATATTTTACAATCGCAATTTCTTCTTTGAGTTCTATTTTGCTTCTTTCGCTTACGTTTGCCTTAAGAAAGGATTTAATATTGTGGTGTGTTTGACATTTTTTGGTACTTTGCGATTTGGTGACTAAATTAGCCGTAGGATATTTCGTCTACTAATGGCGGAAGATATGAAGAGAGCTTATAATTGAAATCCTACATGAAATAGGAATCCTACTTAGAATCAAGATTCTAATGAAAATAGGACTCCTAATTGGAATAGGACTCCTACTTAGAATAAAAATTCTACTTGGAGTAGGACTCCTACTTGGAATAGAACTCCTATTTATTATAAAGATTATATGTTATTGTGATTTCTTATGATTTGATATTATAAATAGTTTTAGTTTGATTAGTCTTATATCGATGGTTTGATCTGAATCTCTCTTTGACCTCTAAATTGGTGCTTTCCTATTCATTTATAGACCTCTCTATCGTGAATATTGTTGTCTAATTGATAATTTTATTCATTAGATTAATTTTTTATGCTGTAATCGAGTAACATGATATGTACCTCTCGGCTTTTAATTGGAACGTTATGGAAATTCATATCTAACGTGATATCTTTTTGTAGTTGTTAGCTTATTTTTTCGGGATCTTTGTGACGATCTTTACATAAAGACAGTGTTGCTATATTGCAGAAGATTTTAGTACGGTTCTTTGTGATTTGGAGAAAATATTTCCTCTATCATTTCACTACAAAAAATGTGTGTTTTACATCATTTATTTTATATATTTGTATTACTTATAATTGATAAAAATAAAATTTACATCACTTATATGACCGACTGTAAATGTGGTGATGCAAATAATTTGCATCGTTTTATTAAAAATCGATGTAAATATTTGCATCGATTAACATTTGATATAAATATATGTCAATTGAAAAAAAATGATGTTAATATTTTTAATTGTTAATATCATTTATTAAAACTGATGTAAAAAATAAACTATCAATTTTAGAAAACAATTTTAATAATTATACCATTTAAAGTTATCAATTAAAAATTTCTAATACATTAAAGCAGCTGCGTGGGACGTGGCATTTTAAATTTCGCAACCTACAATAATTCATGAAACGATATGGGCTTCACATATATGGGTTCGTATGTCGGCCCACTGATGTCTCCGTCTCCTCGGAATTTATTTCCCGTCTTAATGCCCCCGTCTTTTCTTCTTCTCTGTTCCGTTGCAGAACAAAATCCTCAAACGACTCTTCTTCCTATTATCTTAAAACCCTGAACCTTCAGTCCGAACAGATCTTCCCTCGCTTCGCAACGCATCTTCCTTATAGATACTCGCCGAGATCAACCGATGGCTCCGAAAGCTCTTTCTACTTCTGCCCAGCCCCAGACTTTCAAGGTCCTTGAGAAAATCGACGGTCAGTTTTGCACCGACGAGGTCAATTTCCTTGCATTCCACTTCTCCTCTCTCCTCCAATGCATTCCCAGAGCAGAGATCCTTCAGGTTTGTATTTTTCCCTGATTTTTAGTGTCGTGTAGATATGGAGTTAAAGTTTGTGATCAGAAAGGCAAATGTACCCTGGATTGGTTGCGGTTTCGAACTATGTGATATCGAGATGGGCTTCTTAGATGTTCCGTTAACTTCCAGATTTTTCTTTCTTTGTTATAGATTGATTTTGGGCCGAGATTTTATGTGATTTTTTGCTGAATCATACAAGGTCATAAAAAGTTATGCATTAACTAAAGTGATTATAACATACACATGGTCATGCATACAATAACTACGGCTGAAGTACCGTAATAGTGATAAGAAAGAGACAAAAAGTTTAAGGGCTTAGCTAAAGGACATAGATGAGAAAAAAAATGTATGTTCACATGGAATTTTAAGATTTGAATGTGGCAAAGTATCTAGGTTTCTTTCTTCAAAGTTATCAAGCCAATGCCGGTGAGTGAAGCTAAATGAGAATAAAATGCTGACTAACTAACTACAAAGTTCACATTTCACTTGGCGACTGCAGAGTTATGCTTTCAGCACAGAGGTAAGAACATACCTTTTTCTTTTTGATTTGGTACTAAAAGTGAAATAACTATCAATAATAAGACCTATATTTATGTGTTACCAAAGGTTGTATCACATTAATACATTTTACTTTTTTTTTAACAATCTAGAATTTGTCTTATGAACATTTTAAAACATGTATATAGTACAATTTTTATAACAAAAAACCCGGGCGTAGCCCGGGATACCTCTAGTTACTATTATAACTGCTATATACCACGAAGAAGTAACTGATTCTTTTCTTCTTCTCTTCTCATAGATAGATTAAAAAAATGTCGTTTACAGAGCATCCAATACATTGGATCAATAGAATTCATAACAAAAACTATGAAACAAATGCTATCTAGAAGAAGATACAAAAACTACAAACCCTGAAAAAAAATTGAAATGGACAAATGCTTCTTAGTCTTTGGTCAAGCGCTTGTTAGTTGCAGACTTGGAGCTTGCTCTCCCTCTCTTCTTCTTCTGTTGTATCTCTCGCTTCTGTTACACTTTAACTTTTTATTAATGGAAAGGAAATTTTTTTTGAAACAGATCAGAAAAGACAGATTAACAATGGCTCAAAGCCCAGGAACCTGCAACGAGAAGTTGTAGTTGATTTTAACAACGAACACTTGACCGGAGACGCACTAAGTATAACACTTCCTCCACTTTCTTCTCCTTTTGTTTTCTCACCATCCAAACACAATTATATGTCTCTCTTGGTTCTTATTCTATTGTGAAGAAATAAAGAATCGGAGATCTCAGAAAAATAGAGACTTACAAAAAAAGAGGAAGAGGCACAATAGCACTTAAAGGAACTAGGATTTTCTCTTTTGATTGGGTGGTTACGAATTTATTTCTGGATATTTGTTGGAATGCTAGTTAATTACTTTTGTCAAAATTTAAGCCGGTTTTTTTTTTCATTTTATTTTCCGATGTATTACAGATTGACATTATTAAAAATTGATTTAAGGGAAAATATAGTTCCATAATATTTATGGTAATAATATAATTTTCATTTGCATCAGTTTTAAACTGATCTAAATTTTGTATCATTTTATTAAGTGATGTTAACAAAATAAAAATATGTACATCAACTATCTAATCGATATAAATTTATATAATAATATCAATTTTGTTAAAGTGATACAAATTAATAGAAATTATATCAATTTATGAAATTGATGAAAAATTAGTTAATTACAACATCAGTTATTTATAATTGATGCTAAATCATATATATTTACTTCAGTTATAAATAAATGATTTAAAATAGTATCACTCAGTTTTATGATACAATTTAAGTGATGCAATTCATCATTTTTTTTTAAGTGTTTTTTGATGTCATGGAACATTTAGCAATTCATTTGTCATATGAAGCTATCCTTGGGGTCCAGTGCAGTTTAGATGGATGTATCCTTTTGAAAGATATATGGGTCATCTAAAAAGAAAAATGAAAAATAAGGCCAAAGAAGAAGGTTCGATTGTTGAACAATACATTAATGAAGAAATCTCTACTTTTGGTACTTATTGCTTGAGCCACATATCAAGACAAAAGGTCGAACAGAAGAGCGACACTATGATGGAAGTAATCAAGGAGATACACACCAATTGGGTGAAATTCCTGATATTTTTTCACAAGCAGGGAGAGGCAGTGGTAAAGAAAAGGAGATATGGCTTCAAGGCCAAGACCTCCGTATCGCACAAACATATATTCTGTTAAACTGCGAAGAAGTACGGCTGTTTGAAAGGTACGTGAAATTATATGTACAAACTTTAATTTATATTTTTATAGGTTAAATACAAAACATTGTTGTAATTTTTGGTGAAATTCTTCTATAGGTTATTTGACGAGAAAATGACTGTCTTACATCCTGGGATAAGTGAAAACAATCTATATGTGCTTAAAGAAAAGAACTTTGCAAGCTGGTTACAAGAGCACGTAAGATTTTCATTCTAATTCTATTGTTACAAATATTTTTAAACTTCTTTTATAGTAAACATGTTGTGTATATGTTAATTAAAATCAGGTGGAGAATACCTATAATTCACATCCAAAGTGGTTGCAGACACTCGCCCATGGTCCGATGCCGAAAGTAACTTGCTGGCCAATATATTTTTGCCGTGGATATATATTTCACACATATGACTATGGAAAAGACAAAAAGAATGCAAATTATGGAGTTTGTGTCAAAGGGGTTACAACTTGTACGGTTTCAAATCAAGAGCCTCATTTCTATGGAGTACTAAGAGAAATTTATGAGCTTCATTATCCTGGACCAGTTCATCTTAAATTAGTGATTTTCAAATGTGATTGGTATGATTCAACCGTTGGATTATTGATGTTCATGGAGGAAAGCGCTATGGGAAATATGATCCTTTTATTTTAGCCTCACAAGCTGATCAAGTATGCTATATTCCTTATCCACGGATGGCTCAGAAGAAAGATCAACAATGGAAAGCAACAATCGTCATACAACCAAGAGGAAAAATATTGCTCAACCAAAGCTTGGATTTCACTGCAATGCAACATGAAAGTATTGATCCAGTTATTTATGCTGATTCGTTGCACACTGAGACGCTAGCAAATATTAATGGCCATGCAGAAGATCTTGAAGATATTGAAGAAGAAATTGCTAGATCAGATGCTGAAGATGGAAATCTGGACATCGAACAAGAGGATGAAGACTCTGAATAATAATTCATAATTATTTACGTTATACTTATGATTTTCTGATTCTTATGTTTTTTTTTTGGCTTTCCGTTTTTATAATTACCATGTACTCTTTTTCATTTTTCTTTGGTTAAAACGTTGAGCTTACGATTTTGAGATCTTAATTTTTTATGTGCCATTTTATTGACTCGTTTGATTTCATTATATCTACTAAGAAAAATTGATTTGTCTGAAAGCATAAATATTAATCAAATTGACATAGTTTTAGAAGGATTTTCAATGAAATTTTGTAAAATAAACAAAGTAATGCTTGTAATGGAATCAATACCAAATTTATAATATTAATTTATAGAATTATGTTTGTTCTGGAAAGAAAATATTCTATTACAAAATCAGCATTAATTCGTAGAGGGAAAATCAAATTTTGTGGTCAATATAGAGGGCAAAAAAGCCCGGTTAAAATTATTAAAGTTTATGCGCCTCACTAAACTAAAATTTTAGCGTCACCAATACCCTAAAAGTTTGACTAATATATAAAGAAAGTGAGTTATATCCCTCTTTCACGGTTTACCCTATTTATTTAGTAGACGCAGCCACCTCCGCTTAGGTTTTCGATTTTTCACATCAGTGATTTCAAACTTTAATAAGTTTAGTCATTATTAGGTGATCGACGCCCGGTTATATTATTTATAAAAATATCTGGTATAGATTATCTCTAATTTGCATTGTAATTTTTTTTGTAGTAGTTTTGGTGTATTTGCCTTGTTAGTTACCCTCTATATCCATACACCAAGAAAATAAGAACATTCATAATTTTGGTAAATGTTTGCAAAACATAAACCAAATTTTTAAATTAAGGATGAGGCAACATAAGTCCCCTTGACCACCCGGGCTGCCTTAAATGGTAAGAATACGCGGACTGCCGTGGGCTTCGTGGGATTAGTCTTTGGGCCTATAAAGCCTTTAGGATCCCCACGGTTGTCAAAAAAAAAAAAAAAAACATAAAACGTAAACAACAAATTATTTAAAAAGGACTGAGTATGTCACCCATTATGTCTTATGATCTTCGGTGTGAACCTTAATTTTTTGGGTCGTACATTTCTTTCTTTTTTCAGAAGTTTTGCTTAGATTTGTTTGAACTCTTTGTCGAAAAATGGATATGTTATATTTGGTGTAAATATATGAATCAGATATATGTTGATTTATGTACCTCCATATATTTTTGGGCTAATGCTTATGATCAGCATGATTTTGTGTTTCCTATCGCGAACGCTTGTTGAAACTGTGTTGCTTGTTCATACTATAAGAGTATAAGGAGAGGTAAACAATTATATTCTTGCAAAATTTGTAAAGCTTAAGTACGGGCATCTTATATATTGTTCTTAGATTGTGTATTATGGTAGCTATTTTACCTTGATAGCTTCATTCGAAGTAGAATGTGGTTATGCTTTGATTGTGGGTTTCTAAGTTCTATGGCTTGTATGAAGCTTATCCCAACAACATCTGGTGTAGAGCATATATAATAGCTGCGGGAGATAATATTTTTTCTCTCTTGAAACTTTATTGATTGAACTTTAAACCGAAAACGACATAAGTTTTTATTCTTAAGAAACAGAGCAACACACCAAAACAGAGCATAGAAACAAAAGCCAGACTAAAACCATAGAAAAAGATGAACCATGAAGATCCCATTACACAGAGGAAATGGGCTTCTCTAACTATACCAAATCCGATAACCACGCCGGTTCTCCGGCAGCGACGTACGATCTCCACCGATCCTCCATAGTAACGCTACTCGCAATAAGCAAAGCACATATGTTTGTATTTTGCATCTCCACTTTCCATTTCCAGTCTTCAATGTCCTTCAGAGCATTAAAAAAAGTGAGAGACTGACCTCTGAAAGCAGGCCACGCCGGGTCGATATGGAGGCTGCTCATGCTTTCGATGGCCGAAAGATGACTTTTTTTCTTTTGCATCACAAATGCTATCCACGAAATTAAAAGCTCGACGGCTATGAGCTTTGACCACACCATTGTGGTCTCTAAGAATCTAAGCAGCGCCACCAACTCGTTTTTCTTTTTTAATGCCACACCAATCTTACATTTGAAAAAATCTACCCCTGGAGCTTCCCATTTTTTATCCTCTGTTTTCTGGAAAGATTTGGACGACATGTCATCGAAACCCTCTTTTTGTGCGAAAAACTACAGTATAAACTCTATAAATTAATAAAGTTGGGACTTTCATATTTTATTAATTTATAGATTTATTAAATTATCGATCTTGAATAAAATAGTTATTTTATTAAAAAAATAATTATAATAAATATTAAATAAAATAAAAATAAGAAATTTTAAAAGTTTTTATATTTTGTATAGGTTCATTCTAAAATTAGGGATGAATTCTAAATATATTTGAGTTTTAGTAGAAAAGAAGTGAAAGTTATACTTATATTTTAGTATATTATCATAGATATGTATTTACATAAAATTTTATTTATGGTAATTATTAATTTATGATATTAATGAGACCATATATTTACATAGGAGTTTAAAAAATATTATTATCTTATTATTTTATCGAATTTTGTTAATTTTTACACTGGTCCGACTTGAGATCGGAAAAAATTATTATTTTATAGAATTTATTAATTTATTGAGTTTCTACTGTATTGATTTGTATCCTCCCTTATTTTGTCTACTGTTTCAGATGTCGTAAAACTCTTTCCTTCAAAAAAGAAAAGACACCTGTTCTTCCATATCAACCACAAGATTTATGGAAAGCTTTTGCTAATTTCCTATGGAATCATATAATTATTGCAGAAGGTGGCACAAATTTTCATATAAGGACAGATTCTCAAAACCTTCTTTTCATATAAGGTAACGTGATTATATGTTCGCCATGTTTATCACAGATTTTACAACTTGAATCATTTTTCATTTCTCCTATTAAGATTGTCTGCAACTGCAAGAGTATCCACAGAATTTTTCAACAATAATATTTTAACTTTGAACTTGTTTTCACTTTCCAAATCTTTTCTCTCAAGTCTCAACAGACTCAGCGATGGTCTTGTCCCCTCTTTATAGACTTCCGAATTTTTTTATTGCCAACCAAACCAATATAAGTAGATTTCCATTTTAACTCCTAACTCCATTACTTCTTTCTCCGCTACAACCTTCTCTCTCAAAACATATGCTAAATCAAGCTTAAACTTATTCAGTTCTTGCTTCACATCCTCCAATTCACTCATGGTTTGAGCATACCTGCCATTTCCATCAATTTTTAAGTTCTTCACAGCTTCAGTATCGATTTTCCGAGACTTAACCTGCGATCATACTCTTCTATAAGCAAAGTTAGGTCATGCACCGTCTTCATCACCTTTACTGACTCATAAGCTCTTCTGCTCTCTCTCTGCAGATTCCAAGTTCTCTTCCTGACTTATGCAAGTCCTCTGAAACAGAAGGAGACGACTATTAAAAAAGCAGAGAACAAATTATCATCATCCCCAATACAGAATTGGCCGAGTGTTTTAGCTTATGGATACATTTAACCTCAAAAATCAAAACATTAGCAAACTAACATTGCTCTTTGCACAATAATGAAAGCCATTAGACACTTTTGTATCTAATGTTTCCCTGGTAAAAGACATGAAATTGACCATGAAATTCAAACCAAAAGACATGAAATTTTTAATCTGTCAAAGAGAATTAACCACATACATTACGTTAATGGCAAAGAGGGCAGTGGTCCATCTCCGTCCAGTAAGTGTACTCCTCTTGGAGGTCTCCTGGTTTTGGTTTCCTCACCTCTTGGGTTTATCCTATTCTCTCCTCCCTTAAAGAAACACACAAAATGACGAAGATGGGGACAATCAAATATCGACTCTAGACTTCAGAAAATTAGCTCCATTAAATAGAATGACTCTTTGCTACTTGTAAAGTTTATTTCGTAGCATCAGAAAATTAATGCAGTTTCTATAAAGCAGCATAGTCAAAGACAAATGTTATGAACCTTGAAATCTTTTGTGATCTAACAATGAGAAAAACTAATTTCTCAACCAGAAAAAAAAATCTCTCTCGTTGCACCCTTAAACTCTACTTTGCAGAGAACATATGTCACTAAAACTCTCACTCTCTCTCACCCTTAGACTCTACATTGCGGAGAATATATGTCACATATCTACATGGTTTTAAAAGAGGCATGTTAACGACAAAGTAGCACACAGTATTGTGTCACGCTATTTTTTTTTTCATGACTTTACTTTCTCCATCACAACAATAGTCAAGAAGAAAACTCAAAATGTATATCTCCTCCAAGGTAAAGATTGCCTAAATAATGCTTACTCAAAAACCAACTTGAGTTTTATATCTTCTAGCTTTCTCACATATTAATTATCCATTCATATTCTAAAACCGGGTTTCAAAACACTAACCTTTGGATGGATCGTAGATAAAGGGATCCTACCATCTTGGAGTACAGTCACAACATCCATAAGCTTAAGCTGCTCTCTAAGTTCCTTTTCTGGTTTTATTTGTCTTGCGTACCACTGTCAAATAAAAAGCCACATACACACAGTAAACAATCCAAATAAATTCACTCCAAAAACAATTTTCTTATACAGTTTCTAGTTGATTACCTGAACAGGTCGCAATGCTTTTTGGGCAGCCTTAAAATCAGATCAACACATAAATTTAATTCATATTCTGTTCACCTCGCCAAATGCAAGCATGAGAGTCACGGATATGAGACCAGCATATACCAAAGCATCCATAGATGAAAATTACAATGAGAAACGTACCCAACCAGAAGCGATCCTGGGAAGTTCTCTTCAAATCCTTGAATCGATCTGCTCCCAAATTCGCATCTGTACCCAAACCAGGTCAACGACCATGACAGATTTTTAATACACAAAATAAAAAACAGAGGAATGAAACAGTCTTGATTTACCTCGCCAAAATTCTGTCCAATAGCTTTCCACCTTCACATGACCATGGAAAAAATAAATATCATGATCTCAATATCACTGTGTATTTATTTAACTACTCTAATGTTCATTGATCTATAAGAAAGGAGACATAAGTGGAATGAGACAAACATGGAGAAAATTTGGTGAAGCTGAGACATAAAGAAGCAGCAATCACAATGGAAAATCTAAACTTTATCCCATAATACAACTAAACTTTATCATTTGCTCAGCCTTGCAATTGCTCGATATCCAAACAAATATTTGCCATTACTTCATTAACAGATGAATCAACCATCTTTGTAAGAGGAATTATTACACGACAGAAACTCAAATTACAAAATAGATGGCAAACTCGAAATCAAGCCACATAGAAACAGACATTCATACCTGATTGAGATCTTGCTCTGTTTTCACTAAGACCTGAATTGCTTCATCTCGCTGAATTTGTGTAATAGTCAATAATCCTCTTCTCCGATTCACTTTCTCCCAGCAGCTCACCTGCATTTTCATTGGCGCTAAATTAGCGCCGAGTTGATAGGTAATTTGTTCCACTTTTTGTTAGAAATTTTGTGAGTTTCAATAAATTTGGTTAAACAGATCCCATACTAACAAAGATTGGATTGGTTCAAATCAGTGAGAATGCTACGCAAATACCTCTATTGAGCTTGATGACGAATTTCTTAGTGGGTTGCGTTAGAGTAGCCTTCTTCCGGGAGAGATTCGCGGCAGCCGGAGTGGGATCTTCCTCAATCTAGATGCCATGTCGTTTCCGTCGTCGTGAGACTGCGGCGTCTGTTGGAAACCGATTTTGGCTTTCTTTCATACTTTCAAAGATTAGGTTTACCACCAATTGAATTAAGGTTTGTGTAGTTAACTTACTGCTACGTTTGGACGACGGTCCTGCTCTGCTCCACCATCTTAGTCCTCTCGCTTCTGCGCTCCTTTCTTTTATCTTTTGTGCCCTCGAGCATCTCTTCGTAGAAATCTGAAAAGTATGTGTTTAGAAGACGATTGAAGTTCTAAGAGAGAGCTAATCATGATTTGGAGAATTAGGTTTGCCAAGAGAGAAAAGTTGTGAATGAAATTGATTTGAAACTAAATAGAAGAATTTGACGAAGATGAATCGAGGCTCAGTAAAGGGAAGAATTGGAATCGTTTCAGTTCGGTTCTGCGAGAGGTGATTTTGGAAGGAGTATAATGATGCTGACGTGGCATCGTTTAGTGAAGTTTATTTTGTTGAACTTTGAGGTGCTGATGTGGCAGCTTCAAAGAGTTCTCAAGAGTGCTGAGTTGGAGACCTTGAGAGGGCCCAAACAGTCCCTTTCAATAGTATATATAGATATAGATGAAATTAGAGGTTCATTATTTTCACCTTTGACAAGCAAATATGAATATTCATAAATTCGACTCTTTTGCCAGTGTTTCTCAAAAAATCTTAAATTAAATCTCACTTGAAAATCAATTTCTTCGAAATCATAAATCCCTACATCCCTATTATCACCTTCGGCTCTATCTAAAGCTGGTAAAGCATAGAATTTACGCCACCAAAAAATATATAAAACTTGAATACCACATGTTACTAAATGTTCCTTTAGCTTATTTGCAGTGTTGCTCTTCATTCTTCTCAATGTGGATGGTTTAAAACTTCTCAACAATATACTCTTCAATCTATCATTATTTTTTATTTAACTATTAAATAAATTTACAGTAAAAATAATATATTTTAAATTTTGAGGCCCCCAAGAACCTTAGGCCGACTTGATCACCCTATCTCTCATTTACTTTAATTATATGTACACTACCAAACATTTTGTTTCAGAATTTTAGAGATTTCATGTCTTTGAAGGTCACGATTGATACCCTAATCTTTCTAATAATTTCCAAACATCCAATAGTTACACTTAATTAGCTTCATGTTTCATCACTGAAAAATAAAATTTCTTGTTTAGGCATGTCCTTGAATTCAGCTAGTGATCATTTATGCTGATCAATTTTCCGGTTATTCAATAGCTTTCCAAAAACTATGGGTGCAACTGGATGTCACTTTTGTGGGATAAAATTGGGTGGAATGGCTCATTCACGTAGATCCCACAAAAAAACTACCATTTGAGTGGAATTAAAAAAAAAAAACTATCCATGCCATTCCAGTGGGATAAGAAGGAATAATATGGGATGTAGTTAAAATTCATTCATGATAAAAAAAGGCTTATAAATAGAAGGAATGGAATAGCTGAAATGGAAATATGTCCAACGTATTACTCATGTTAGCTCAGATTATTTTGAAAAGTAATCGAACATTAAATTATTTAAGATTATTTCAGAATAATAACAACAGTATTTGTTGCAATTTTAAATTTAAAAGTTAGTTTAGATTTTTTAGGGGAAAAAATTTTACCTAGAAAACAGACGATATTTTTTTTATCTTATAAGAATAACCACGATCATCACAATTTTTTAATCAAAATTGATCAAAACAAGAGTTCCAAAGATTGAAAAGTAAAGGTAAACAAGATTACTATCGTTCATATTTTCTTCTCTTTTTCTATTATCAGATTTAAAACTATCGCTCATCTTTCTTTCTAAAGTTTTATGAACTTTTGTTTTTGATATATATTGTTTTGTACGTTGAAATTTGTCTAAATATAGAACAATGGTTAATCATCAATGTCATGTATGTATACAAAATACTAAGTATCTTTTACCAGCAGGAACATGGCAAGTAGATCAGGAAGTGCCAGCAAATCAGGCAATAGCAGAGGTCGGCTTAATCGCAAAAGTATATCAGTTGATGAAACAGAAGCAAACCCTGAAGGAAATGAAGGTCGTTTTAATCGCAAGGATAAGTCAACTGCTGAAACGCCTACAAACCGCGAAGGAAAGGTCTGTTTGGAAACATGAATTTTCTTAGTCTTTAATTTATTAGGAAGTATATAACATGCATATACTTTATAATCATTTTAGTACAACTATTGGATTCCAAGAAAAACCGAAATTTTGCTCAAACTCGTGAATGCCGAGTTAGAAGCAAAGGACTATGCAATAAGGTTGCCAGACAATCCCGGAAAGAGAAGAATAGAAGAGAAGTACTATGAAATGACTGGTGATAAAATTGTTTTTTATCCAGAGATGAGTAATAGGCTAGATTATATGCGCCGGTTGCGATATCATTACAATCTCTTACTTGAGCGTACTGGTATTCATGTTAATCCAATGGGACAGATAGAGATGTCTCAATCATGGTGGGACGATAGAATTGCGGTGAGTTCCCCAAAACTAATCATAAAACATTTTGTTATGCCTATTTTTATCAAGTTTGCTAATTTTTGTTCAATGTTGCAGGAAGCTGGAAAAAATGGAAAATTTGTAAAGGTGTTGCAGAGCAAACCTCTTCCTTTTAAAGAGCTACTCGATCAGATTTATGGTGAACATGATTTGGATCAAGATGTACGTTTTTCTCCGTTCATGCTCGGCGAGCATATCCAACAAACGCAAGTTGAGGAAGCTAGTGATGATGAAATAGCAGTGGGAGAAACAGCAGATGATAATGGAATCCAAGTTGCTTTCGAACCGATGAACCTTAGAGTGTCAGATGATGAAGTTCCCACTAGAGAGCAAGTACAATGTTCCCCACCACATGCAAATAGGTCGAGCATGTGTGTCCGAAGTGCACCTACTAAACGGACGAATAGAAGAAGAGTCAATTTCGAGACACAAATCCAAAGTGGATTCCAACGTATGGAGGAGTCTCGCACCAGCTTGTTAGATGTTTTTCGGTCACGACACCACCAGAAAGCAACTTTTGGTGATGCTTTGGCTGTGTTAGAAACATTAGAAATTGAACCGATGGGAAAGTTTTGGTGGGCTGCAAATGGGTTGCTGATGAACGACGAGGATATCCGTGACGGGTTTATGAAGCTACGTAGTGAAGAGAATAAAATCCGGTATTTAGAGAGGCTAATTGGTGTTGATAGATTTGGTGATCCATGCCAAATAATCAACCTAAGAGAGACAAGCAACATTCCAACTTCTTCTATCGCGGTTTCTCATTCCCATATGGCTGGATTTAACACTAGTGCTTCCACAAGCTTTGGTCCAGGACTAGGAATGTTTGAGACAACATCTTCTGCAACTAGTTTTACGTCATTGCTTGGGGTTCTCCCACCTAGTTCGATAGGTTTAAGTTCTGGTTATGGATCTCATTTAGCTTAGTTAAGTTATTTATTCTACTATTTTTAGTAATAAGACCAATAAGAAACTTTGTTCTTTTTTTCTCAACAGCAATAAGACATCTGTTTTGCATTAACTTACCATTTGTTATTTTTATATTGTTAGAACTTATATTCTTTTAGTTTATACACATTTATTTCTAACATATGGTTTATTACCAGGAATTTCGCTTTGCAGAACTATTATCACGTGGCATGGAAAACCTATCCGATGAAGAGCTGTTAGAGTTGATATTACTAGAAGAAGATGAGATATTTCAGGCTTACGTCTCTCCTACGGTGGACTATTACTGTAAATATTTCTGCAAAGAACCAATGAATCAGCAAAGAGGTAGAGGATGGCGTATGATACAAGATCAAATTTATGAGAATGAAATTTCATGTCGGACGTTAGTGCGGATGAGCCGAGAGGCATTTACACGTCTGTGTGAGCTACTTAAAAGACACGCATAGTGTATGCGTTAATGAGAGCGTTGCAATCTTCCTTATCCTTTGTGGGCAAAATGATACTCAGTATGATCTTAGTTTACGATTTGGACATGCACAAGAGACAATCGATCGAAAGTTTCATGACGTACTTATAGCAATGGAAAAAATGGCTGTAGATTATATGCGACCACGTACACCTCAAGAACTTGAAGCTGCATATCTGCGTCTAGAAGGAGATACGCGATATTGGCCATATTTCAGTGGATTCGTAGGCGCATTAGACGGGACACATGTACCAGTTATGGTCACCCCGGGAAAGGAGTCTCTACGCTTTATAAGCTGGAAAGGGACAGCGAGTGTGATACCCCATATCAAGACCTAAAACATCCCAAAGGCCGGGATGGGAAGATCAACACTCTGGGATTGGAAGACAAAGACGTGGGATCTAATCCAGAGATCACAACGAAGACTTGGATCAAGACAGGATCAAGAACGATCGAGCAGAAGTGAAGATACAACAAGATTGTCCAGGTGGGACGATCATTGTACGAACATGGGAAGAGTCGACAGGACGACGAAATATCAAAGTTCTCCAAATCAAGAAGAGAAGAGTTTGGACGACATAAGAGACCATTCTAAGAAGTTTGGTCGAAGCAGAATGCAAATCGGACGAGCAGATTGAGAGATGGGACGGACGCCCAAGATCTATCCGCAACGACTGCAAGAAACGTAAATGTTCGGGATGGAGGTATTCCGCACATTTCCAAGCAACTATGTGGAAGCTCAGAAACATGGAAATGAGAGAAGGATTAAAATAGGAGATTTTAATTCTCAAGCACGACGGGGACGAAACCCTCCAGACAGGGAAACGTACGAAACCCTCTGGACGAGGAAACGTACATTTGGAGCAATCTTGTTCTAAGCCAACCAAGTGGTGACACCAGCTACTTAAGATGGAGCCAATATGGAGAAGACATCAGCTACTCAGATGGAGCCAAAAATTTCATGTAGCAACATCCAGCTACCGAATGAAGACGAAGCAAGCCTAAACCAATTGGGCAACGACACCAGCTGCTAAAGAGGAGAGAGGGCGTGGATAAGCTCCAAGAAGACCTAATGCTATCAGGGAGAGACACCCAGCTGCTCATGAGAGACAAGAATCGTCCAAACCAATCAGACGGAGACATTGAGGTGATAAATGGAGACGAAATGACTTGGACGAATCAGGATGCAACACCAACCTACTGAGAGAGAGTATAAGCTTCAGGAGTGGATGAGAAGCAAGTGGAGAGATGCAGAAACGGATTGGATCAAGAGCTGACCAATCAGACAGAAGCACCCAGCATCTTAATGGATAAGATGAGTTATAACCAATCGGCACGACACACCACATGCTTGGGGGAAGTCGGCCTATTGGATGAGCATTGAGAGGGGATAGGAATGACGTGTGTCATGTCCTGAGACGCCCTAGAGGCCACCAATCAAAGCTACCTAGCCTAGACCGCCTGGATGTCGCGTTCTGAGGCAGTGTAGGTCGCCACCAAGCAAAGCTATGCTAGACCTAGGTCTCCATGTGTCTGCGCATGACTGGAGACGTCCCAAGAAGCCAGGCAGCCTCCTGAACTCCTATAAATACGCTCCTCCAGCCCCAAGTCCAAACCATTCCATTCCCAAAGCTAGAGAGCACCTGAAAAGTGATTAGAGAGTAATTAAGAAAGTTTTCTTAATTAAGTGAGGTTAGTGGAAGATTAGAGTAGGTCAAGATCAAAGCTTAAGGAAAGCTAGGAGGATCTTGAAGTCTTCTTAAAGTGGTGAGTCTTGGTGTTATAGTTTTAGTTTTGGATCTTTGTTGTGTATGCAGGTTGTATGAACACCAAAGCATAGGAGATGCTTTCTGTTCATATTGGTTATTGGTTCTGTAGTATAACTCTCTAAACAATAAGGTTTAGTAAAAATTGTGGAGAGTTATGCTGCAGAAATTTATATAATGTGTTATGAGGTTGTGATGGGTAATCTTCTAGGAGAGAAGTTATGCCGTCAAATCTCTTGTGTGTTTATATGCAGGTTTGCATTGTTGTGAGGTTGTGATGGGTAATCTTCTAGGGAGAGAAGTTATGCCATCAGATCTCTTGTGTTGTGAGGTTGTGTCGGGTAACCTTCGGGGAAGGTTAGGCCGCCAGATCTCTTTTGTGTGTGAGGTTGTGTTGGGTAACCTTCGGGGAAGGATATGCCAACAGATCTCTTTTCTGTGTAAGATTGTGATGGGTAACCTTCGGGGAAGGTTATGCCGTCAGATCTTGTTAGTGTAGATGCATATCTATACATTAGGTGATGTGAGATTGTGGATGGCTATGCCGCCAAATCTCATAGATGCATCGGTTGTGGGGTTATAGCATGGCTATGCCGCTAAACCTCGAGTGCATACTAACATGGTGGTGCGTAAGGCCCATATGTTGAGTATGACTCCGATGTGGAAAGATCACGGACGGCTGAGCCGCCAGATCTTTCGAGGTTCGTGTGGGTACTCTTCCGAGGCAAGGGAAGCTCTGCCGCAGAACCGGTGGTATGAGGCATAGTGGTGCGTAAAGGCCCATATGCTAAGTACTGAGAACATGTGGCGTGTCTAACCACATGTTGTCTAGGAAGGTGTAGTCAAGCGCATTCTCGCACGTCAGAGCCCAACCGGATTGGCAGCGTGGAGGCTGTGCATGAAGGGAGGAAGACTCGGAGGATAACCTGGTCAGCTGCCTTGGCCGAGTATGGTACCATATGACGATATGGGATCCAACCAGACATTGGCATGGTGCGCCAGTAAGGCCAATAGATGGAAGGATGAACCGGGTACCGCGATGGACTGTAGTGCCCGGGTGAAGGCGTTCATCTAGTTTCTGTGTGATTCCGGATGAGCGTGAACCTTCACAGGCGTGGGCAGAGAATGTGGCTAATGCACCTAGGCGCCTTATTGCATATAGAAAACAAGTATTAGATACTTGTCTAGGTTTGCATGGGCATTGCATATAGATTGTTTGATTGTTGTTATAGTCTTGGATTGATCGTACCTGTTCTTGTTTGATTGGGGTACGGTTAGTCTTAAGACTATAGCATCAATATGCATGTGATTGCATATGTTGTGTTGTGCTAACCTCATTGCAGGTGGAGGCGGGGTTACAAGCCCGCGGCGTTTGTGTTTGGAGTTTAGGGAATCCCCCTTGTATAGAGGTCCTAGACTCACTGAGTAATATTAGATTACTCATTCCTTTTGTTTAATGTTTTCAGGTGACCGTAGAGGTGTGAAGTAGAGCGGACCGCTGCAGGCAGTAGGCGCCAGAATAGTTTTGTGGTATGTTTTTGTAAAATTATGGTTTGTTGTTTGGTTTGGAACTAAGGATCGATCCGCATGTTTTTAAGTCGGATTTTGTAAGCACTCTGATATTTTAATAAAGGAAAGTTTTATGTAAAGACCTTATGTTCCAATGATATTAGCTTGGTCCGGGCTAACACAACTCCTGACCGAAGTACGGGTTGGCAAGCCTTAGGCTTTGGTCAAGAGGGTCGAGTTCGTGGACGGGCTGACCTGGGCTCTGATTTGTTCTTAGTCTGGGATGGCCTATTCGGCGAACATCGACATTTTGTGGCGCTTCTCGGAACGTCTGTGCCTAGGACGGTTCGGGGGTGTTACAAATGGTGGTATCAGAGCATGGTTCATGATCATGCTCGGGAACAAGGATTTTAAAACGTTTTATCGAGTCAAAAAGGAGTCGCAAAAACTACCTTAGGTAATCTGGTCTGTCTGCAGCATATAGGTAGAATGTTTAGGTTGTGGTTAAGCATTGCTTGATGTTGCTTATAATTTCTGATTGATCATGCATGTTCTTGTTTGATTGTTGCATGGTCAGTATAGAGGTTATGGTAACATTGTGCAATGTGGTAAGCCATGTTTGAGGTGTCTATGGGTGTTGATCATCCATAGAATAGATGGATGCGGATCATCCATGGGATAGATTGTGTTGAATAGGAACCCTAATGTTTGCTTTGTGGTGATAGCTTGAAGTCATGAGTGACTGGTTTGTGGATGATGAGGGGTCGTGGTTTAGTACTGGGCAAGAGTGGACAGTGGAGTCTGGATCGTCGAGTTCAGAACCGTCGAGCAATTCGGAGCACTGGATCGTAGTGACGGACTTGGAACAGCAGACACTAACAGATCATGATAGCAGCAGTGATTGGGACGAGGACGTATATCTCATGCCGAGAGACAACGTGCAGCCCAGCACAATGGTGAATGAGTATGGCGAACACATGACTTGGCCAGTACATTACCCTGAGGAGGAGAGAGTAGTGCCATCTACTCAGATCATAGAGATCAGTTCAGGCGAGACTACACCAAACTCTTGGGATAGAGATAGTCCACCAAGTGTTCTACCGCATATACCAATGCCGCATGTATTTGCACCGGGAGGTGGAGTAAATCCTTACATGCCAATGGAGGATGACTGATGATAGGATTTTACGTGGATGTGTGATATGATATGAGGTGGAATGCAAACAGGGGTGAATAAAGATGAAATGGTATGGTGCAATCACAATCAATCAATTCCTCTTAACCATCATAGTCAATGTAGTACAAGAGGTTATCAATCCAAAATGGGAAACTTGTCACTCTTTGAGAATATGAAACAACAAGAAAGTCAAGCAAGCAGTAATAGATTTGAAGTAACACTAACAACCTAAATGAAGCAGAAATGAAATGCAGAAAGTAAACAAAGCAGTGAAGTAACAGCTCGACCAAGACTCGAGTCGAGTCAGAACAAGTACCAGCTCGATCGAGTTTAGGGACGAGTTGAGACAAAAAGCTAAAGGTGACGACTTTAACAAGATAAGCGAGAATTAGGGTCTAAGACAGGGTTTACAATCAGAGGAAGGCTATACTTAATCAATCTTGCTCTTAAAACTTGTATCAAGGCTTCTCTTGATATTGGCTTCTCAATGCCTAGCAACCCTTTCCCAAGGTGAAAGCTATCAACCAAGATGATCTCAGAAACAGGGGGTTAGCCAGTGAGAATCAAGCCTTGGAGGCCATAGGATCATTGCCAAACTAATCCATCCAACCCCTTAGACCTCTATTTCTAGAGCAAGAGATATTGGAGCTCTTAGTGGATCTTTTCCAGCGAATTTGCCATCACTTCCGTGTGGGGAATCGCCTAACATACAAGCCAGGGGTAGTGGTCATGTAGCCTTAAGATTTATCCAAAAGAGAGAGAATCTAGATTAAGACCATAAGCAAGAAGGATTAAGCATATGAAACCTCTAATCTATCCCATCTCAAACCCTAATGGGAAACTACTCACTACACATGAATGTAAACACAAGCAAATGCAATAAAAGAGACATCATAAGAAAGAGGAGATGAAATAAACAACTTTTATTGAAATAAGCAAGTGCAAATACAAAAGAGATTATCCAGGATCTAGGATTCAAGAAGCAAGAGCTTCAAGAACACAAAGATGGGATTAGAGCTCTCAAAAGTAAAAGACAATAAAATTAAAAGAAACTAAAACAAAATAATCTAAAGCTTGGTGGTTTTTTCGTGGCTTTTAGCCCTTAAATACAAGAGGATTAGGTTTAGGGTCAAAGGAAAGTCAAGGGGGAAGCAACATTTTTCGGGTTTGACTGTTGACTTCTCAGCTCGATCGAGTTGAAGCTTGGCCGGTCGAGTTGAGGAACTCGACCGGTTGGTCGAGTAGACGGTCGAGCTGGTCTTCAAGATGGCTTCTCCCTTCTTCCTTTGCGTATCCAGTTGAGCTGCGTCCATGTGCCAAGTCCCTCCATGCTCCTTACGTCCCATATGCTCCAGAATGCTCCAAAAGACCTATTTCAAAGGACCAAACATGCATATGTATGCAAATGCAACCTAAAACTACTATGAATGCATAAGAAGAGAAAAGGAACAAGATATGATGCTAATGGATGCTAAAACTATGCAAAAGATGCATAAAAGATGTACTAAAACTATGCAAAATGCAAGTACATCAATGACCCAACGGATTATGTATACCCGTTCATTGCCACGGGTGTAGAAAGCAATGATCCAGCCATCACAACTCAAGTCAATAACGAAGTCTTCACAAACCAACCTGAAGAACCGGATACGCCGGAACCAACATGGGAGGATTATCTTGGACACCAGAACGTATCACCCACGTACTGGACAAGGAAACTCAACGAGATCGCTGGATACACATCATCAATGGAGCATGGAGAAGGAAGCATACCTCAAGATCAAGGAGAAGCTAATGCGATATGGTGTACAATGTATGGAGAACAAGATGCACCAAACTCGGTGGCAGGCAATGAATATCAAATACCGGATCTTAACCAAACCACGGAGGAAGGTACCGGAGAGAATGAATGGCCACAAGATGATGAAGGTCTTAACTTAGCAAGAAGGTGGGATGAGATAATCGCCACAGAATTGGAGAATCTCAGAACAGAGGGTAATGGCCTAGAGCAAATGGTGTCACGCCAAAGGGGAAGGCCTCCCAGAAGACTCGCGAGGATGAGAGTCCCAGCACCGTCTCAAGTCACGCTACCATGCGATCAATGTGGAAGGACGGGACATCATAGCAGAGCATGTCCCAATGTGCGAGCTAGATCAAGGATGAATGAAAGGCAGAACATTTGCCTTACTTGTGGAGAGAAAGGACATTTCTCAGCAGACTGTCCAAGGAACTGCCCCAGTACTAGTCAACCCACCCGCTCAACCACAAGGAGAGAGAGGCGACCAGGGAGTGGAAGCCGTAGAATGTAAGATAGAGTCTAGGAACCCTAAACCACATGCCGAGAAAAGGTATTTTTCGGGTTCTAACTCAATCTTTGAATGGTTTATTTTCTTGCTTGCTTGGTATAGTAAGTAGGATTGTTTGGTGGTTTAAGTTGAGTTTGGTAGAGACATCGTTTAGGAAACCCATGTTTTGGGAAACGATGTGGTGAAAGGAGATTCCGATGTTTCTATTTCCAGTGGGAAATGAAACTAGAGCGGATATCCTTGGAACCAAGTGGTTCTGGTAAAGTAGTTTTGGGTATTAGCACATCGAGTGGAACCCTTAAAGGGAAGCGATGTGTTAATAGAAGGAAATTCCGTGAATGCTGTTTCCAAGAGGGAAATAAAGCTAGGACGGAAATCCTTGAGTAAGAGGTTAGGTGGTTAGCGAAGTTAGGAGAACCTCGCTAGAGTGGTCAGACCGGGATCAAGACCAACAAGGAAGTGTTGGTTAAGGTACGGTTTTGACATTAGATAACCCATAGTTAAAGCCGGGATGGATGGTTATGGGAATGGAGATTTGAGCAAGGAGGATCAGAGGAGATCAGTGGAAGAGGAGTCTGCAAGGGGACAACGTGAAGACAGAGTAAGAGGAGTCTGCAAGGGACAACGTGAAGACAGAGTAAGAGGAGGCAAGGCATCTTCAAAGATGGGGAGAGACACCGGAACAATGGAACGTTCCTACTCTCTACAACTGGAATTCGGGGACGAATTCTATTAAGGGGGGGAGAATGTGATACCCCGTATCAAGACCTAAAACATCCCAAAGGCCGGGATGGGAAGATCAACACTCTGGGATTGGAAGACAAAGACGTGGGATCTAATCCAGAGATCACAACGAAGACTTGGATCAAGACAGGATCAAGAACGATCGAGCAGAAGTGAAGATACAGCAAGATTGTCCAGGTGGGACGATCATTGTACGAACATGGGAAGAGTCAACAGGACGACGAAATATCAAAGTTCTCCAAATCAAGAAGAGAAGAGTTTGGACGACATAAGAGACCATTCTAAGAAGTTTGGTCGAAGCAGAATGCAAATCGGACGAGCAGATTGAGAGATGGGACGGACGCCCAAGATCTATCCCGCAACGACTGCAAGAAACGTAAATGTTCGGGATGGAGGTATTCCGCACATTTCCAAGCAACTATGTGGAAGCTCAGAAACATGGAAATGAGAGAAGGATTAAAATAGGAGATTTTAATTCTCAAGCACGACGGGGACGAAACCCTCCGGACAGGGAAACGTACGAAACCCTCTGGACGAGGAAACGTACATTTGGAGCAATCTTGTTCTAAGCCAATCAAGTGGTGACACCAGCTACTTGGAGAAGATAAGGATGATCATAACCAATATGGAGAAGACACTCAGCTACTACAATGGAGCCAAAATCGTACAGCCAATCATGTAGCAACATCCAGCTACCGAATGAAGACGAAGCAAGCCTAAACCAATTGGGCAACGACACCAGCTGCTAAAGAGGAGAGAGGGCGTGGATAAGCTCCAAGAAGACCTAATGCTATCAGGGAGAGACACCCAGCTGCTCATGAGAGACAAGAATCGTCCAAACCAATCAGACGGAGACATTGAGGTGATAATGGAGACGAAATTGACTTGGACGAATCAGGATGCAACACCAACCACTGAGAGAGAGGAGAAGCTTCAGGAGTGGATGAGAAGCAAGTGGAGAGATGCAGAAACGGATTGGATCAAGAGCTGACCAATCAGACAGAAGCACCCAGCATCTTAATGGATAAGATGAGTTATAACCAATCGGACGATCACACCACATGCTTGGGGGAAGTCGGCCTATTGGATGAGCATTGAGAGGGGATAGGAATGACGTGTGTCATGTCCTGAGACGCCCTAGAGGCCACCAATCAAAGCTACCTAGCCTAGACCGCCTGGATGTCGCGTTCTGAGGCAGTGTAGGTCGCCACCAAGCAAAGCTATGCTAGACCTAGGTCTCCATGTGTCTGCGCATGACTGGAGACGTCCCAAGAAGCCAGGCAGCCTCCTGAACTCCTATAAATACGCTCCTCCAGCCCCAAGTCCAAACCATTCCATTCCCAAAGCTAGAGAGCACCTGAAAAGTGATTAGAGAGTAATTAAGAAAGTTTTCTTAATTTAAGTGAGGTTAGTGGAAGAGAGTAGGTTAGTGGAACCTCGCTATAGAGGTTAGATTGGCAACGAGGAGGCTGTGCATGAAGGGAGGAAGACTCGGAGGATAACCTGGTCAGCTGCCTTGGCCGAGTATGGTACCATATGACGATATGGGATCCAACCAGACATTGGCATGGTGCGCCAGTAAGGCCAATAGATGGAAGGATGAACCGGGTACCGCGATGGACTGTAGTGCCCGGGTGAAGGCGTTCATCTAGTTTCTGTGTGATTCCGGATGAGCGTGAACCTTCACAGGCGTGGGCAGAGAATGTGGCTAATGCACCTAGGCGCCTTATTGCATATAGAAAACAAGTATTAGATACTTGTCTAGGTTTGCATGGGCATTGCATATAGATTGCTTTGATTGTTGTTATAGTCTTGGATTGATCGTACCTGTTCTTGTTTGATTGGGGTACGGTTAGTCTTAAGGCTATAGCATCAATATGCATGTGATTGCATATGTTGTGTTGTGCTAACCTCATTGCAGGTGGAGGCGGGGTTACAAGCCCGCGGCGTTTGTGTTTGGAGTTTAGGGAATCCCCCTTGTATAGAGGTCCTAGACTCACTGAGTAATATTAGATTACTCATTCCTTTTGTTTAATGTTTTCAGGTGACCGTAGAGGTGTGAAGTAGAGCGGACCGCTGCAGGCAGTAGGCGCCAGAATAGTTTTGTGGTATGTTTTTGTAAAATTATGGTTTGTTGTTTGGTTTGGAACTAAGGATCGATCCGCATGTTTTTAAGTCGGATTTTGTAAGCACTCTGATATTTTAATAAAGGAAAGTTTTATGTAAAGACCTTATGTTCCAATGATATTAGCTTGGTCCGGGCTAACACAACTCCTGACCGAAGTACGGGTTGGCAAGCCTTAGGCTTTGGTCAAGAGGGTCGAGTTCGTGGAACGGGCTGACCTGGGCTCTGATTTGTTCTTAGTCTGGGATGGCCTATTCGGCGAACATCGACATTTTGTGGCGCTTCTCGGAACGTCTGTGCCTAGGACGGTTCGGGGGTGTTACAGCGAGCCTTAATGTTTTGGCCATGTGCGACGCTGATATGTTGTTTACTTATTGTTATGTTGGCATGGCAGGGTCTGCACATGATTCTCGAGTCTTAGCAACAGCGATACGAGAAGATCCTAAGTTTCCCACACCTCCAAAAGATAAATATTATCTTGTAGATTCTGGATATGCCAATAGCCGAGGTTACTTAGCTCCGTACCGAAAGCAACGTAATTGTGGTACAAGGTATCATCTGCAAGAGTTTTTGAATGGTGAAGCTCCACGCAATAGCAAAGAGATGTTCAACAGATGGCATGCATCCCTCCGTTCTGTAATTGAGCGCACGTTTGGAGTTTGGAAAAAAAAATGGAGGGTTTTAAATGAATTTCCAAGGTATGATGTTTCTGTACAAAGTAGTGTTATATTTGCTACAATGGGACTTCATAATTTCATCCGTCGGAACAACATTGGAGATGTTGAGTTTGAGGAAGCAGAACGAGGAAATGATGTTCTACATGGTCATCAAAATATTATTGATGATGCAAACGATAATCAAAGTGTTCGAGTTGAAGAAGACACTCAACCAGGAGCTTATATGAGGGTTGTTCGTGATCAAATAGCTAAGGAGATTTGGACTGCAAAACAACCCTCATATAAGCTCCTGGTTGAGTGTCTTCTTCAACTCGAACACTTTGATTATCGTTTGCATCATCAATAATATTTTGATGACCATGTAGAACATCATTTCCTCGTTCCGCTTCCTCAAACTCAACATCTCCAATGTTGTTCCGACGGATGAAATTATGAAGTCCCATTGTAGCAAATATAACACTACTTTGTACAGAAAGAGATTTGGACTGCAAAACACTGTGCATCTGGTTCTCATCGTTA